TAAGTCAAAATTGATATTAATATTAATTAATAATAATAAACGATATATTCTGTGCATATGTTCTTACGAACTGCCCTTTTATGAATTCATACCTCGGTAATTCATACCTCGTGAATAACGCACAGGTGATCCATCGGCAAGACTCTGACGAAGACGAAGTCGGTGAAACGCCAGCTATTGTCGAACAAAGACAGCAATAACAATAAGAACATATGTACCAACCATGCGTCGGCTAAAAAAAGGTAATTCGCAAAAGCATACTTTACTTGATACTTTAGCGCTCCATCCCACTAGTTGTGGTGGCGCAGCATAATCACCATTTTTCGGAGATTTGCTGGTTAAACCATTGTGGTTCCTTGAAATTCCGAGGACAGCCTGGCCAAAGTCTGCCCCAGGTCGCCACCACGACAAGCAGTTGCAGTCCTTGTGGATCAGAAGGACATTTGCCACCATGCGACTTTGATACCAGGACGGTAGTGGATCCTGGTATTCGTTTATTCTTAGCTAGGCTTTCTGATGGAAACGGCGGACTCGTTCTCAGCTTGGGAGACCCTGCCGGAGCGACGAATCCCCCCGCTGTACATCGCAGTCCAGCACCCAGGATCACCTCCCAGCCACGATGAGGCGGTAAACCGTTGGGAGGTCGTAAGAACATATATACAGATAAATCGGCACTGGACTAAGTTGAACCGAAGCTGTATAATTATAAATAAATGTATATATATATATATATATATATATGTATATAATTCAATGTTTTCTCTTCAATAAGCAGACACGAATATATATATATATATATGTATATATATACTTATCATGTAGTACAAATTATAAATGAATTTTCATGTTAAGAACAATGACACTCATTTTGTATATAGCCTTAGTCCCGTTTCCCTGAACAATAAGGTGTCGCCTTAAAACGATAGCGTGCTAAACGATTTCACAGCTCAAACAGCGTAACGTTAGAGTTACCCTGAAATGCACTAGTTGTCGTTAGTTCAGTCATACATTCAAGAAAACTAAGCCCACAATCCAACCGGTACCGGTAAACTACGTCGAAACATGCCTAGGACGATAGAAATATTGACTTGATAGGTCCGTAGGACCCGGAAAGTCATTTTGTAGACCAAATTTCTACTCAATTATTTCTGCGATCCTTAATGGAGTTGACTACATGGCGCAACTCTCCGGGGCTCATCGACACCAAACACTTTGCCATCTATCATTCTACAATGACTCCAACTGTGTTTTTCAACACGGTTATTTACTTTTAAATAAACTTTTATGTTTCACTGCTCGTCATATCGGACGACATTTTAATGTTGAAGTTTCGTTTAACATGTCTATATTAAATGCTTGCTTATTTAGATGTTAGACAGCTTACTAGCACGATTAGTGTAAGCTTCAGATGGACTGCTTGACGTCCACGAAAATCATTCTATAGTGCATGAATCGTTTCCACCTGGCAGTGTAGGTGGTTGAAGTGAGCGACGGGCTTATCAGAGCACCAAGCAGATGATTCTTCCAGAAGACGCTTGCATCCTCTTAGATTTCACTCCTGGTTTTTTCATACTTTTGTTGTCTGTTCTTCTCATATATATATATATATATATATATATATATAAATACGTATATATAAATATATAAATATATATATATTCAGGCTCTATGTTTCCTCACCGATGTATATTTTAGTAGGTTCTGAGCATGAGAGAGGTTTCGATCTTCTGAGCTGTACATTCTGCTTAGACGTTGTGAGTGCTGGTCAGATTTTAGAAGACATCTTTCATGTATTGTGTAGCTAGTTTGCAGATTGTTTGACATGGTTGAAGTATTAGCCCACGTCTCTGCTGCATAAGAGGGAACTGGGAAAATTGTCGAGTAAAAAAGGCGAGCACGGAGTTTTTTGGGTCTGTTAGTTGGTCGGCGGCTTCCTTGAGAGGCTCGAATACCGCCAGTGCAGTCCTTCTTTTGTCAAATTCCTCCGTCGTGTTATTCTTCATGTTCACTGAACTTTCGAGCTATTCGATATAGTTTCACCATGCATTTCGATTTGTTCAGCTTTGCATCAAGGGTTTTTCATGGACTGGGTTTTCTTCCTATGCATACGCACTCATATGTCTTTTTTCCCGTCGTTGAGATCGTTGGTCGTATTGAATTTTACATCTCAGAAAGATGGCAAAGTCATCAGCAAAACGAATATTTGACAGGATTTTGTCATCAAAACACATGTCCTTCTCGTTTTAATCGAGTGACATCATTACCCACTGCGAGGCAGCTGTGAATAGCTTCGGTGAGATGGCTTCGCGTTGTCGAAGCTCCTTCGTATGGTGTTGGTGAAAATTCGATGGATGCGCTGTATTTCCACAGTGGAGTAGTAATACAAGTGAGCTAGATTTCGTATGTGGAACGAGTGCACACGTTGGTCAACAAGCGCTGATAGGACTGCATTCGTTCCAACTATTTCAAGCGCTCTTTTGTAGTCGATAATGGTTGAGACAGAAGGTAAATGATACTGCCAATGGCTGTCTATGACCGGAGATATAGTTTAGGTGTGGTGTCTGCAAGATCCTTATGGAAATCCTGCTTTACCAACTGGTTGTGCCTCATATAAAGTCACTGACGTTTGCAATAGAGTAGTCTTCGTGAGAGCTTGTAAAGCATGTCAAAATGGATATTGGACATTAGTTGAGATGGTCTCTGCTGCAAAGCTTCTTAGGCAAGATGACCGCGCACGACGCCCTACACAATTCTGGGATTTTTCTTTTTTAGGGTAAAGTGTCACTCATATGACTACGAGAAGTGCGTGCAACTTGTGAATTTGGGGAACTTGGTTATGTTTTCTAATTCTGGAGCTGTTGCTCCCTTCGAGCTTTCTGTTGGAACCCGAATTTGTGGAGACAGACTTCGAGGCGCTTTTCTCTTCAACGGCAATATTGTGATCAGGGATAAAGGTTGTAAAGTTTGGCGCAGAGCTTCACCGTTATCGGCTTTACATGGTGACGGGAGGCGGTACATGTTCCATATCCTTTCATAAGGGCCAATGACACAACAGTGTACTCTCACCGGTCCCGATTGCATTTCTTCGGGCTCGTCTTTGAGGGGGTTCCAATATCCTTTCCTGTCTGTACCGATGTAAGTTCTGCAGAGATCTGCAGGGGGTGCTTATTATTAGTTGCATTAGATGTGTTATAGTAAAATTTACTTCCTCTTTTTGAGCCAAATCAATGATCATGTAGATGTTATCCCGACTTCTTATTGGAGGAACTAAAGCGACTTCGGTAAAAGTTTTCATTCCTTTGACGAACTAATCGGGCTCATCGGCTGGAACCTCGAATAGAAGCTCATAAAAGAGGACATGATAGAGTCCTACAAACTGGTGGGCCTCACGAAGGTGAGAAAGTCTGCTTGCATGAATGTGATTGATCTTCGCAGAAATCCCGCCGTTAGGAGAATCCATATTCAGCTGCGATTCCTTTCTTATGGAAAAATGGAACTCATACTGGAACTACTCATGGAAGAGATTTGATTTGTGAATGAATGCAAAAAGACAGTTATCATTCTCATTTCGCTTTCCTATTTTAAATTTTCGGGCACTACACCAACTTTCGTTGACATTTCTCAGTTCGGCATTGAATTCTCCGACAAAAATGAACTGCTTCGTCCCACTAATTATAGAATCCATGTAGTTCGCTCCTATCTGGTGCAACCCCTCTTATTTTGATCTGCTTTCTATTACTGTTCTGGAGCCCACGGAACTAGAAATGGACACCGTAGTATTCATACCGTCCACTTGCGCAGCCATATGTAAACACTATTGTGTCCATTCCGTCCCATAGATGCGAGTATTAAAAACAACTTCGACTGATTTGTGCAGAAATACCGAAGGGAAGCACTAGTTATATGAGTTACAATGTGGTTCCTTATCCTCCTAAACAGTACTGTCCTCTTGCAGGGCTCTTGTTTAGTCTTTTTACATCCATATCTTCTTTCGCACGCAATATTTAGTTGTTACTAACGTCTTGGAAAAGTGTGAAATGTTTTCCCTTCAAAGCTGTGTCTTTTATAGATTCGTGTCAAAGGTCTGTGAGCGTGGACGTGACTATCTTCTGGGCACTTAGCAAAGTTGACGAAATATTTCGACTACAACAACTTGGCTTCAATAAAATTTGAATGATTTACCCACATAGATTCTAATGTGACTCGTCACACCCACAGTGATGCTCAGGTGCAGATGTATTCAGCTGGAAACTGAACATCTGGTATTTAGTTCATAAAAACTGCGACAGAAGGTTGTTCGTTTAATTTTTTTCCACGATGAAACGTACTTCAGCCCGGTGAAAGGGATCGTATCACACTGTCGAGAAAATACTCTGTTTTTAATTCCCCATTACAGGTGTTGATGCCAAGATATTTGCAGTTTTGGATCGTGAATTTTAAACCATTACAGACAGGTACAAACATCGGTTTATTAGCCAAATTACGAACAACAGGACGAAATACGGATGGGTGACACAGTGGAAATGATGCAGATCATTACAAGCACGGTTGTGACTCGATCCGACACCGGTTTCACCAAGCCTGTCATGGATTGCTAACACGTCCACTACCACACCATACGGATTCTTCCTTTCGTGTCGCCTCTTACCTCCATACCCCCCCCCCCCCCCCCCCCCCCCCCCCCCGAAAGGGTAATAGCGCATTCGTTCCCCATCGTACACACCTGCGGTCCGAAGTTTTGCAAGTATCTCAGCATCATTATAGTAAAAACAGAAGATTTTGATCTGAGATCAAATTCAAAAAATAACAGGAAAGGAACAAGACGGACAGTATGCCCAAACTTCATGGAAAAACGACGTAGCAACATTACCAGACTAAACGTTAGCCGATATGACTACAAAGTAATAACTGCCAAATTTAAACAAAATTCTAGCGCGCTTCAAAAGTACCATGAAATCATCAAACAATTGTATCAAAATATTATCAAATAGTCGCATTTATCAGCTGAAATAAACAAAATCACGGCCTTCTTCCCATCCAGATTCGGAAACGAAACGTTCAAGATGACCTTCAGTCATGTCCAGTTTCACGCAAATCACTACTGGCGGATGAGCGGCCCTAAACAATTGAATCTCGTCAAAATAAACTATCGCTTAATAAAATATTAACAAATGTAAACTTTACGATTGAATTTCAAAAGGTGTTTATACGTTCTAGTCTGTCATCAAGGAAGCAAAACGAAGAACCCGGATGGTGTAGTGGTGAAGTGCGCTGCTCCCGGGTAAGAACAACAGCGCGTGTTCGTTCCCCACTGCATACACCTGTGGTCCGGAGTTTTGCAAATATCTCAGCATTTCATACGAGTTATAATTCGAAACATACCCTGCCATTAAGAAGAAAAAGGCAGTAAATAAAAGAGTTAAGACTGAGTCTTTAGGGTTCAAATCTGGTCTACAACATAGATCTCCAGACCATGGTCACCCAAATCAATTGATCACTTCGCTCACACGCGCACTACAGGATCTTTAACGAGATTGGTACCGTTGCATATGGGCTAAGAACTTTGGGTAAAATTCAAACAGTCAAGTAAGCACGACTTTGTAAGGTAGTGTGAAGCACAGAATTATTCTAAGAGACATCGCCGTGCTCGAAGAAAATATCCATTATTGATTGTGAGCAAGAAAAAGAAATCTTGAGAGAAAAAACTTGAAATTTCATCCCATTTTGTTTAATAATAAACCCAAGCCGAAGTAGTTATTTGGCGAAATAAATACGAAACCATAGTACTGAAACCAACTAATTATCAGTCCGAAGAACTGCAATCAAGAACATCAAGAAGATAGATATCTCTTGGATTAAGCAACCTCATAGCTGGATTTCTTCGAGATAAACACCACGAACTACAAGCGCTTTTATATTTTCCGGAATAAAAACATCTCATGTCAATGCAGGATCTTACCGAACAGTGGTCGAACAAAGTGTCTATTTCACTCTATTTGCTTGTAGAGTGTTCCTAGCATCCTGTCAACAACTGTTTTTTTCTCACTCACATCAGACTTTGAATGAAGTCCAATTAAGTGAGCCAGCAACATTTCGACACAGACACTGCTGTTTACTCGCATTCGTACCAATAACTAGAGTGATGGAATCCCAGTCAAACCTCTAGTTTGTCGTTGACATCACTATTTCTCTAGATGATCCGAAACGCAACTGATACATACAATTAGGCTTAACAACTTGGACTTTCGATAAATATTCTGCCTTGAAAAGCCAAATGAAGTATACACTACCGATGCACAAATGTACCGGCTGTGTGATCATAAAAAAGTAAAGTAGAAGAGCAGCTGAACGAGGAGAGCAATGGAATAGACACCTAGAGCACGCAGTAATTTTGTAAACAGACAATCTGCAACATAACTGGACTTGGGTACAGCGGGTAGTTCTAAAGTACTCCATGTGAACCAGCCAGATTAGCGAAGAAGTTACCATACACTAAACAGAACACAAAGACGGTCACGGACAAGGCGATACAATGGAAATTTTGCTAAGACAAGGCGATGTGTAATAGAAGTCAAGCAAGTTTATGAAAAACGAGGTTTCGAAATGGTCATAATTGTGTGCTGCGGCCAATTATTCACTATAGAAAAGTCAGAATTGTCACAAATTTGAAGGTTGCTGACAGATAAGGTATAGAACCAGGAATACAAACCTGCGATAGAAACAGTGCAGGTAATCACGCGTTTCATGATGATAGAGATGTCACATTACTTATTGAGAACTTTATATTTTGATAAGAACAGAGTTAGATTTCCCTAATCGTCTACCACCTTCGGTTGCCTTGCAATGCATGGTTATCGAAATGCGACTTAGTGCGATAGGTTTGTTTCCATCAAGGTTACCCCTTCGAAGCTAAGAAGTCCAACATGTCTCAAAGGCCCATTGAACACAAAGTGATGTCTTGTATTGATTTGCATTTACTGCAGATAGAATGCGACATATTTGAACATGCGAATGTCGGAATGTGGGCAATCAGTCTATTTTGTCAAAAACCTGGAATAAAATAACAGGAGGAAAATGAGGTGGTTTGAAGTGAGAACCAAATAATTAATACGCCGAAGTCGAATAAAACTAAATTCGAATTCTTAGTGGTAAAAAGATCAACTCCAGCAAATGTGGAGATTGAGTAGGATACTTAACAGCGCTCCGAGCCTAAGTGCTTTTCAGTTTTATTAAGTCAAATATGAAAACAAGTGAGTAAAGAAACAGAGGTACAAACATAGGAATGCTGAGATATTACAAAACAGGTGGACTTGGGACCCGCAAATTATGCAAAAAGGCAGGAAATAAAAGTTAAAACATCGTGATTTCAGCTTAACTAGCTTCAATGCCTATTTGGGCTTCTCAAATCATTCCCGTTGATGGATAATTGCTAATAGCACCGATGGAGTAAAAATATGGATGATAGTAAGGGGTTCCCTTGACCTGGTGAATAGCACGTAAGTCGGAAAGAAGGGTAATCGTGAATTTGAAGCCCACCTGAAGTTCTGAGTTTTGTTCATATCTCAGTATCCCTATGGTTGCATTTCATATCGTACCCTGCCATGAAAGAAGTAGGCAAAAAATAGAAGTTGAAACAAAAAAAAAGTTAACTCTCAATTATATGCGATTTCAATCTTTAACTAAGCTAAAACTAAACTACTTTGTAGAAAATAATTAGATCATTTGTTGTGATAGCTCAAATCCTCATTGCGAAAGCGCAACCTCCTCTAATAAGTGTGCTTCCCAAGTACTCTACATATTACGTAATTACTGGACATTATCAGAAACCAGCTTCATCATGACTATGCTGGAATGTTTCTCGAAAACAAATAGCAAGCCCGTGAAAACCCTAAACAGAAAGGAATCATGCCCACGAAACAATCCTCACTTGACGTGGATTATTGGAACTTTCCGTGTAACAAGTCGTATTTTTGCGTCATATTCTTCGTACCAACCGCGCCCGATTTTCTTCTCATCAACGTCGCAGAAAGCTATAACTCGTTTTTTCTCCGTTTCTGCTAGTGACCTAGTACAAAACGCAGTAATGTACGTATTCATACGAGCTAAGCATTGTGAAGCAACAAGCTACGAACCTAAAGAAACATTTTCCTTGTTTACCCGCGTTCCATATGGTGAAAGTTTCCCATTTCGGCAATATAGTATTACGGAACCGACTAAGTCGCAATTTCCGAATGACATTTTCAGGAATTCTTAAAGATGCGCATCCAGGATGGTATCGATAGATAACCAACGGTCTATCAACCTAAAAAAAAGAAGAGAATGGTGATTTCCTTTCAGCTCTAATACCAATAACTACATTATTATTAATGTGTCGTTTTCTTGTTCAGCTATCGCGAGGTTTTTAAACAGCATACATTTACTTCCATAAAGAAAACACAATACAATACAACGCTAGCTGACGTTTTGGCAGTATCGCCTTCTTCAGAGCCTGGAAGGGTATAGTAATATACAATCTACTAGGCCAAACGCTTCAACAATACTTTAAAAAAGACGAAAAACTCTTCGGTAATTACATGATCAACAACTTCTCGAAAAAACCCACCGATTTTTTTTCGTGACTTCCAATGAGGAAGTTTAGAACAGCTAATTATAGTCGCATGTGGTTGACGACTGCACCATCCCACATCAGGGGTGCTTCGTCTTAGTTTTCGTTTGCCATCTAGGTGTTCTTTTATACGGATACACAGAGGTCTGCCCGTTCCGCCAATGTATTCATCTTCGCAATTATTACAAAAGATCAGGTATATCGTGCCTGAACTCATGCAATCATCGTCTCTGCCGTAAGGGCAAATTACGCAATTTGTTGTTTAACACAGACGGTCATACAGGCGGTTGCGAACTAATTGGCGACGTAGAGTAGCCGGTGGTATTTCAACTATCGCTACCGATTCCTCTAGACTTGCCCTTCTTAAGCATCGTTTTATAGCTGCGCTTACTTCAACGCTTATAAAAGGCAACATAAACGGGATTTTGTTTTGGCCAAGTGTTTCGCGTGGGCGCGTCGTTCTCCTTGCAAACTTATCTCGTGGGGTTACTATTTCGTAGCCATTGGAGATGGCTATTTGCCGAGCCAAGTCGCGCGATTCTTCCTTTAGTTCCCTGGTAGTGCACACAGAGGTGGCTGTTCGAAACATGTTTCTCACAATCGCCCTCTTTGTAAGCGCAGCTATAAAACGATGCTTAAGAAGGGCAAGTCTAGAGGAATCGATAGCGATAGTTGAAATACCACCGGCTACTCTACGTCGTCAATTAGTTCGTAACAGCTTGTATGACCGGCTACGTGAAACAACAAATTGCGTAATTTGCCCTTACGACAGGGACGGTGATTTCATGAGTTCAGGTACGATAAACCTGATCTCTTGTAATAATGGCGAAGATGAATATATTGGCGGAACGGGCAGACCTCTGTGTATCCGTATAAAAGAACACCTAGATGGCAAACGAAACTAAGACGAAGCACCCCACTAGGCACGCATAGGATACAAAAGCATAACGGAGACGATTTTGAAGTAAAAGTCAATATCCTTGCACAGGAGTCCAAAACACCAGCGCGAAAACTCCTTGAGGCTTTTTGGATCAATGCCAAAAACCCTGCAATGAATAGCAGGGACAAATACCCGGAGGTCATACGCAACCTGATCCCGTATGTTCGCATCGATTTTTGATGTGGGATGGTGCAGTCGTCAACCACATGCGACTATAATCAGCCGTTCTAAACTTTCTCATTGGAAAGTCACGAAAAAAAAGCGGTGGGTTTTTCCGAGAAGTTGTTGATCATGTAATTACCAAAGAGTTTTTCGTCTTTTTGTAAGTGTTGTTGAAGCGTTTGGCCTAGTAGACTGTATATCAGTATACCTTTCCAGGCTCTGAAGAAGGCGATACTGCCGAAACGTCAGCTAGCGTTGTATTGTATTGTGTTTTCTTTATGGAAGTAAATGTATGCTGTTTAAAAATCTCGCGATTGCTGAACAAGAAAACGACACATTCATATTCCAATGCCGAGGTTAATAGAAAGTCGATCCTGGCAACTATTACATTATTATTACCAAACCTAATGACAGAATCACAAAAATAGGCTACAAAATGGATTACTTATCTAACTCACTTTAGTGAAACACACATTCTCAACATCCAGCGCACGATAGAAAAACTCAAGATCTTCTGGGTAGCCTGCACTAATGTCTTCTTTAAAACCTTTTAACTGAGTCATGAGATCACGAGAAATAAACCATGTCGGTGCGACCAGTGTTGGACCATGGGATGTAAATATCTAGACCACATGAAAAATAAGACTCAGGCTAGTATGACGGAATTGGAAAGAAAAAAAAAAACAGACCTGTAACGTCAACTTATCACATGATAATTCATTGGCCCACTTTGTGTATCTCTGAGTTGAGTTATAAGGAAACCTCCGAAAGTTACTTCCTGAAAGACAGGCCGTTTAAGTAATAGAATTCCACTACAAGCAATGGCTAAAAGATAAATATACTTGGATTAGAAGACCGAAACGAAAATGGGAGTTAGCTCACGCACATTACCTAGTCTATATTTACTCCACATTTGTTATTTGTTCAAAAATAAAAACAACAGAAAAGCACACAAATTGGTTGCCAGTTCACGAGAATCGTTGCTCCCATAAAAATGGCCGCCGTCCTGAAGATCCAGAAACAGGGCTGACACAAAATTCTAGGAAAACGAGCTCAACTAGCATGCAACATGTCCATGAGGACAGAATACAATAGAGCTTCAAGCCAGCGCCGAATTTAGTCACGGACCCAAGCACCTTTATGGATGGTGGTTGTAAGGCGAAAAGAATAGAAGAACCTGTTATGTCCGAAAGACATGTAAGATCAAATCGTAAGGGTATTTAAACGCTTAAATAGCTATAACTGAAAATCTCGTACAGTTGCAAAATCCAATGGAACAATTTTTGCTCTACATCACGTTCAGCGTTCATTGAACGCGATAGAAAAATACAAATGTGGTCTCTGTAATCAAAGAGTCACATATTTTGATCTGTTGTGCCATGACTTTTTAATGAACTTGGCTTTCCTCTGATTTACTCCAACCATATCGTGTTCTTTATCTCATCGGTACGCCTTGGAAAGATGGTTGTATCCACGTCGATCACTCCACAGGTTTATGAATATGGGTGGGATAAGGAAATGGCGGCGTATCCGAGATCAGCATTTCTTTTCAAAGAGATCGATTAGCCAACATTAAGTTAAATAGGTCCTTTCGATATTAATTTGACAATAGGTCTCATCTATCTATTGTCTCAACGCGAATGGGTTGATTCCGGTCACGCGGTGCAATTTAAGGCGAAGGTCCAACAGCTCCCCCAGCCAGAACCACATTGGTCAAGAAATTCGATATTTTTCACGGAAATAACGACCAAAAGAAATCACACTATGTCCGACCTCTGCAAGTTACTCTTGATTTTCATTCTGCAAAGAACAATAAAGAAAAACAACTTCGTACAAAACGTGCCTTTTGTGTGCTCTGAATAAATGGACCCCAGCGAGCACAGGAAAACATGGAAATTTCACCTGTGCTCTCTTTAATTAGGTGCCGAGGTTGTAGTGATACTGTTCATTACGAGCACGGTGATGGTTCGACCCCAGACTGGGTTCATCAAACCTCTGATTTCTCCGCTGTCGAAAATTTGGTACCAAGCTTTTCTAGGAACAGTTAGCTTTCGGCAAACCAAGTACAAGCGCTCTATACCGGCTATCCAAGGACTCTGAAAGAAGAAAATTCTCAAGCAGCAGCCGAACCCATGTGCGAAAAGCATGAATGCTTCCGCTTATGATGAATGCGAGGAAACAACTCCAATGTGAGAAGCGCTGGAATCCGCACAGTATATGTGAATACGGGTCGTGCAAATGAACAATAAATTCTTTCTAGTTACTCTGATATTAGCAGAATTGCAGTGATACGAGTGAACTTAATTCATGTTCACCTACCGAGTTTATGGTGATCACCCTTCATTACTGAATGGAATGCTTCAGCGTGTCGAGCTGTCTTGCGGAAGTGACTCGTCTTAGTTAAGGCCACCGAAGCAAATTAGTCCAAAATTCCCATCGGGATACTGAGAGTAAACCACTATTAGAAATTCTCGCTAACTGGGTACTAACTTAACTGGAAACACAAAATAAGTCCACCAGAAGTTGTCTTAGGGTCATACAATTCGTGAGGACACCTTCTATACTCCATCATTAAGAAACCGATAGAAGGATAAAAGCGTTCGTCGTTCTCTCAAGTCCATAGATACTTGCATCATTTAAATGACTGAACATCTGGAGCAAACAAAGTTTGGCGTTGCCTACCGTCACACGATGTAAGTACAATGTCTTAACTTTCATTTAATGCCCGTTGGTTTTTTTTCCTTGGTAGGTTAATATGTGAATTACAACCACAAGTATGCTGAGATATGATCAAAATTCGGAGTTTCAGTTGAGTTTCGAGCATGCTTACCCTCACTGTGGGCTCACAATAGCGGCGAAGGCGGTTTTCCTTCCTCTCAGCCTGTTCTTTTACTCTGTCAGTGCCATCTGCAATCAGTCGTCAACGGGAATGATTTAGGGAGTACAAATCAGTATTGGACCCGATTAAGTTGAAGTTGCAGCAAAAATCGCAATATTATTCTAACTCAGCATTTCAGTTCCCGGTAACGGTAGTCGTGTGTTCGAAGTCCAACCAATGTTTTGAGTCTTGTTCATACCTCAGAATCATTGTGGTTGTGTTTCACATAGCACTCTGCGATGGAAAACAAGTCGGCAGTAAATAAGAATTCGGACATTGTAATGAAATAATGTGACGGTAGGTCACAACAAATCTTTGGTTTGTGCTGCATAGCACCATTAGGTACAGCCCACCTACGCCCTAAGAAACCAATATTTTTTTTTCCAAAAATAGGGTAAATCGATAAGTAGCACTTGTGCTCGAAAAGAAAAAACCACCTGAAAACTAACCAACGAAAACCAACGAGTTCTCCGGAAAGCTAGTAGCTCTGATATATTGTTCATGGAGCCGTGTACTCAGTGATATATCATCTGCATCGCAAAAACAAATAAATCGACCAGTTGACATTTCCACAGCTCTATTCTTTGCATAACCAACACCTGAAACACTTTCTGCATTGATATAAAGTAGATCGTCTTTTTCACCCTTATGTCTTCACCGGTCCTAGGCCTGCTGCCGTAAAGATTTCCAATTGAGACCATAGAGATTTGGCACCAGTAAAGAAGTGTTCATATGCATGAGGTGCACGACCAAAGAGAAGCGCATCGAATTCCTATTTGCAAAGTTCTACTTCCCCTACAAATCAAATACATATGAAGCAGTAGACAACATTCATCCGTCAATGTTGCATATTGACATAAGTCCTTGTTCACTTGGCTCCGGGTCAAAACCAGCATCAACTGGTGCTTCTAAACACTATTACGTGACGGAACAAAAACCAACTTGGAAATGTGTCATTTCAGCAATCCACCAACTAGCTCATATATATTTTTCCTAAGGAATTAAGACGGTGTCCGAAACGGACGAAAAGCAAGTATAGCACCGTTAAGTATAGATAACTAGAACTAAGTGGGAACATTTAATCAAAATCCATTAAGGCTGCACGTCCTTGTGGATAATTCATTCACTTAAATAAAACCAACACCAAGGATTATTTGCGTATGGGTACCAAATACAGACAACATTTCTTGATAACTTTACTAAGTGCCATCTACGCTACCAAGACGGTCGCGACATTGGAAACGGAATATAGAGGAAACCCAAATGTGGTCGACCCAAAGCATATCTTTCACAAAAAAGTTGCAAGGTGTGAGCTCTGAAATTTATATCTCATCCAATATTCCGACTTTACTTCACAAACCGTCCATGATTGTCACAACAACCCGTAAACAAAACTGAAAGCGAAGTTCAACAAATGGAAGAAGCGCTATTCCTACAGAGACTAAGTTACTTGGCCACACCATCAACAGTCACTGATGTACACCGTTTACCCTTGTCTCGACCTTGAAGAATATTAAAATCTATCAAACAGTGTAGAGGATAGACTTTTTCCAGAACTTAATAAATTTTGTCCACCTTCTTGTTTCCTTTTTGAGCACAGCTTAACATGTATGGTATGTAAAAAATCACACTATGTAAAATTTTCTACATGACATTAACACATTGGTGTCAACGCCTTATTTTCGTTGATCGCCGAATGTTTTTCAACAACTAATGTACCTCAGAAGAGCGCGTGTAGCGCAGTGGTCGTAGGTGATCTGCGATACACGCGGGATCGATCCCCACCAAACCACCCTCCCTTCCCATATGATACCGGGGTCGGAAAATTGGCACCATACTTGTCTGAGAGGGTAGCAGCACTGCCTCGATACATCGATAGTCCACCGCGAGTCATTGTAAGGGCCCGATATGCATCCAGTCACCTCCAAACGATGCTTAATGAACTCGAATGCATGCCGCATCCCTCAGGGATTGATCAACGCCGAAAGCTTTATGATTTCCTTCGTATTTTTGTTGAGCAAACGCGAGGTGTTACTATTCTTTGTTCACGATTAAGCTGACGTTTCGGCGGATTTCGCCTTCTTCAGAGCCGCTTTCTATGAGGTTTCCACTAAGTATGTCACGTAGAGACCAACCGCACAGAAATCACGTGGAAGTATAATGACATTATATAGACATTATACTGAAGACAGAATAGTAACACCTCGCGTTTGCTCAACAAAAATACGAAGAAAATCACTTGATCAATGCCGAGGTTAATAGAAAGTCGGTCGTGGCTTTATGATTTCGTTTTTTCATTTCGTTTCACGAGTATGTGGCTTCATCCAGTATTGCTGTACAGAATCTCGCTTGCCAAATCGCTTCGCCGTGCAAAAGGTGAACCTCCATAAAAAAAGGAAAAGCATGCTCTCTAAAAAGTCAGAGTTCCACCATTTTAAAGTAATAAAAGCTGAATCTTAATGGTAAAAATATGCAGCATCTCACTACATGCTGAGATACATCGACATAAATTTGGAAGGCGAAATCACTTTTGAGAACGTGCAAGTGACACATGACTCATGTCAGCACCAAAAGGTTAATAATTGTGTTTAAGAGATGACATGTCTAAAAACGATTACAGACAATGAAACCACTAGAAAACCTAGTGGGCGCAATTATATAAGAGATGCTATAATTATAAGTATATAAACATAAGAAGTTAATATTCCCAACTTACCTCTGCATTCTGAACTGTGGCTTAGCCGCAGCTCAACTCCCTCAAATGCAAAGAGCGTGATAAATGTCTCAACACACTCCTTTGTTGAATCCGTACTCCCATCGTTATAGACGCATACCTGGTGAAACATTTTCTTCTATACGGTGGACCTACAGCTCCAGTATAAGAGACTCACGAAATTCCTAAAGAAACAAAAGAACAACTGGAATCCACTTTGGGAGATAATGTCTTTCAGTTGCACTACAGTTCTGAGCACGTTAAAGGCATATTGAAATAAGGCAAAGGAATAGACGTTTTCGCAGCATAACTTTAATTAGTTGACGATAAAATAGCGAATTTTATGGGACAGAACCAAAAGACGTATTACCCAGACTTATTTCTAACAGGGTTCGTGCTGCGCAGTGGCCTCAGGCGCCCTGCAACACACGCGGAATCGATTCCCGCGCCCATGGCCCACCAAGCCTTCCATCTCTCCGGGGTCGGCGAATTGGTACCAGACCTGTCTGGGAGGATAGCAGCACTGGCCCGATTCATCGGTAGGCCACGGCAAGTCATTGTAAAGGCCAGATATGCATACAATTACCTTCAAACGATGCTTGATGAAGTTGAATGCATGGCGCACCCTAACGGATTGATCAATGCCGAAAGCTTTATCCTCCTATTTCTAACAGGTAGTTACATACCCACAAGAGAACGCGTCTTCGCCATTTCTCAAAATACGTTCTTTTCACTGAAGATGAATTCAGATAGTGGCTAGTCGACATTAATAGTATGAATTACTCGCATATATGATTATTAGGCTAGTCTAAAGTTAGAGAAACCACCTCCCAAGTTCCTTCAAATTCCTGCTTCAGCAAGGCCATTAGACAATCTTCTATGAAGGGAATCCCATTTCTCACCGGAATAACAACAGACTAAAACCGAATTTAAACAGCGATGACTAAATTCACTTATCGTTTGAAAAACTGCCCACCACATCCACTCGGCAACGTCCAGGCCGTAGATCTCGACCGTCGCAAGGTTCTTCAACACTGGCCATTCAGTTATTTACGTCCAAAATCTAGAATTTCAGTAAATTCTCTAAAGGATATCTTTGCACGTAGACATATCTTCTAACTTAAACCACATGACAGAGAAAAAAAAGACGAACTAAAACAATTTGGAGGTGTGTGAACGAAAACGGACCGACGTGAGACGATGGATGAATGGCGTTGGCCAGGCGATAATAGCGCGCCTATACCAATGATCGCGCGGGAATGCAAAAAATTTGAATATATCATCGCCTGTCTCGGCCTGTAGGTTGCGGTCTAATGCATAAATGTGGCCAACGAATACCAACACGCGGGTGCAACAGCGGCTTCAAGCAATCAGTAAGGCACAGTGTATCTTATTTCACCATCTACGAGTTGGCATGAGTGTTCTGGGACTCATGCGGGTCAACTCATTAATTAAATAAAAAATAAATGGAAATCGGACATAAAAAATGAAAAATAAACAAAAATAAAACAGGAGTTAAATAAAAATTGTATTAAAAATTAAAAATAGAATAAAAATAAAAAGTAAATAGAAGGTAAACGAAAATAAATGAATTTAAATAAAAATTAATAAAAAATAAATAAAGTGAAACAAAAATTAAACAAAAAATAGAAGAAGTTAAATAATAATTAAAGAAGAAATAAAAAAATGGAAATAAATGAAATTAAATAAAAGTAAATAAAAATCAAATAAAAATAGAGTTGAAAAAGGATAAAAAGAAACAAAAATTGAATAAAAACCAATGGGAGTTAAATAAAGTGCAAATAAAAAATAAATAAAAACGAATGAAATTAAATAAAAATAGTTAAAAATAAATAAGAAATAAATGCAGTTAAATAAAACTTAAGCGAAAATAAATAAGTAAAAAAAGAAATAAAAATAAACAAAAAATAACCAAAAATAAATAAAAATAAATAAAAAGTAGAAAGAACCAAATAGAAAATAAGTGAACATTGAATAAAAACAAACAAAAATTGAATAGAAAATAAATAAAAAATAAATAAAAATAAGTCGAGTTAAACAGAGATACTTCGCATTCCCGTTGAGGAAATACGAGGTGTTATCTTATTTCTTTATTCACGAATAAGCTGACGTTTCGGCGGATTTCGCCTTCTTCAAAGCCTGGAAAGGTCAAGTTGACTACAATCTACGCGGCCAAACACCTCCATAACCAAACAGAGAAAATGCTGAACCAAAATTTCAATCACATTGAACTCAGAGTCTTTGCACACTCACCGCTTTCTATGAGTCTTCCACTTAGTATGTCACGTGGAGACCAACCGCACAGAGTTCGCATGGAATCGCATTGTGCCCATCTCATCAAAATAACAGGTTTATCTACTGCACAATATCACGCATGATAATGAGGCATTCTTCCCTGCGGTTCATTTTCGGATTTCTGGAATTAACCCAGAATGCCTCTAGAGTTTTGCGCGCTTGTGTTCTCAATTCTTGCGCGAGGATCGTAACCCTTACTTCAAAATCTTCTCCGTTATGCCTCTGCGTCCTATACGTGCCTAGTGGTGGAGTATTTGGTTTACTTTTGCCGACTAGGTGTTTTTTATACGGACGCAGAGTGGCCTACCCGCTTCGCCAACGTATTGGTCCCCACGCGCTTTACAAGCGATCAGATAGACTGTACGCGAACTCATGCAGTCACCGTCTCTACCATTGGGGCAAATTATGCAATTTTACGTTGCACATAGACAGTCATATAGACGGTTACGAACTAGCTGGCGTCTTTGATTACTCGGTGGCATTTCAATTATCATTACCGAATTCTCTAGACTGGCTCTTCTTAAACAGCGTTTTATAACTGCACTTACTTCATTTAAGTTGAAGGGTAGGATAAACGGGACCTTTTTATCGCTAGAGTTGTCATTTGGGGCCTAAGGTTTCCCACACACCTATCTCGAGCTACAGTTTCGTAGCCATTATAAACTGTTTTTACTGCTTGGAATGGCTATTTGCCGTGCCAAGTTCCGGGACTCCTCTCTGTGCTCTCTTCCCGTGCACTCGGTTGCTGTTCGAAACATGTTTCTTACAAGCGCCCTTTTTGTGTGAGAGGGGTGAGAGGAGAGGTAATGAACCAAGATGTTTTTACTACTTGGCTTGTAACATGTGCACGGGAAGAGAGCATAAAGAGGAGTTCCGCAACTTGGCACGGCCAATAGCCATTTCTAGTGGCTACGAAACTATAGCTCGGGATGGGTGTGAAGGAAATTCTAACCCCCAAACGACAACTCTAATGATAAAAAGGTCTCGTTTATGCCACCCTTCATCTCAGATGATGTAAGCTCAACTGTAAAACGCTAAGTAAAAAATAAATTAAAATACAATACAAAATAAATAAAGATTAAATAAAAACAAATAAAAAACAGACAAAAATAAATAAAATTGAATACAATTAGACAAAAATGGATAAAGAGTAAGAAGAAATAAATAAACTCTAAATAAAAATAAATAAAAACGGGATAAAAAGTAGATAAAAAATGAATAAAAATTAAATAGAAAATAAATAAAAGACCAATATAAGTAAATCGAATTAAATAAGGATAAATAAAGACTAAATAGAAAATAAACAAAAATAGATAAAATTGAATAATAATTAAATAAAAATAAATAAAAAATGAACAAAAACAAATAAATATTAAATAAGTAGGTAGAAATAAATCAAATTAAATAAGAATAAATAGAAATTGAATAAAAATTAAATAGAAATTAAGTAGAAAGTACATAAAAACTAGATAAAGCTAGATAAAAATAAAACAAAAAACAAATAAGAAAACAAATAAAAACAAATAAAAAGCAAGTAAAAATAAATAAAAATAAAATAAAAAATGAAAGTAAATAAAAACAAATGAAAGTATGATTAAAAATTAAATAGAAAATAATCTATCGAGCATGAATTTTATTCTATGATCCTGGAGCGAGTGGAATTCATAGGATATTACCGTAGGATAAATCAACGTTGAGCGCGTTATTCTTATTTTCTTTATCTCTTTGTTAATTCACGCTTCTGAAGCACAAGTCCGATTTGGATACATTGTGTTGTTCACGCCAGATCAAATTAAGAGTTTTTACATGGAAGTGCAATCTGATGTTGATAAGGTCGGTATTTTAAGAACTCTTCATTGTGAATTTCTTGCCGACTCACTAACAACGGCTGGTCTACAACGATCTTGTGAATCGGGGTTTAATACTAATACTACAGTCGCGCTATGTTTTTAAAAATTTCATCGTGCTTATCATTGTTCCCATTATTTTCACAAGCGCTTAGGGTGCGTGTGGCGCAGGGGTCGTAAGCGCCCTGCAATAAATATATTGCGCGCCCAAGGCTCGGCAGGTTATTCATCCCTCCGAGGTCGGCAAATTGATATCAGACTTGTCTGGGAGGATAGCAGCATCACTGTATAACCCAGATACGCTTTCAATCACCTCCAATCATCCTTAATGAAGTCGAATGCATGGCTCATCCCTGAGGGATTAATCAACCTCCAGATCTCTATTCTTTTTTGTAGGTGCTTAAAAGACTAGTTCCTTTTGTGCCAGAAATGTAGGATATTTGTGTTCCATGAGCAGATAGCTGCATAGGGATCAAGAGACGTTACCAGCGTTAAATGAATGTTTAGTGAGTGAATGTTCCACAACAATTGAGAGTTGCATTTGTGACTCTACGAGTTTTAGAATCACGTCGTAGAAGTGTTGCGATAGAGTTTGACATTTATTTTCTTCCGGTTTCTGACCAATTCAGCTTATTCTATAGTAACTGCAGCCATTTTCTTCTGGCGTTTGTATATACTACACGTTTTTATGTTAACATCTGTCGAATAAAGTCATCCTCTTAACGGTTTACCGTTTCATCATGGCTAGAGAGTGTTTCTGGTTGTCAGGCTGCGAGACGAATTGATCACTCTGGTAGGGTCTGCCAAGCAGAGCCCGGTGTTTCAATCAGGAAGCCAAGTCAAGAGTAAACCAATACCAGGATCCGTCACCGTCCTGGTAGCAAACTAGTCGCACGGTGGCAAATCTGATCCACAAGGGCCGCGACTGCCTGTGGTGGTGACGACCAAGGGCAGACTTTGGCTGACCTCGGGACTCCAGTGAACCACAATGGCTGAACCAACAAAATTCGAACAAAATGGAGATTATGCAGGAGCCCGCACAACCGGTGAGGACGGGCCATCCATGGATCCGAGTATAAAAGTAAATAAAGTCATGTAATGGCCTTTGTTCCAGTATTCATATTGTTTTCGACTCTATACCACATTCATGAGCGAAGTTGCAAAGTCTAAGTTAATGAATAACCGACTTAGGATACCTTCACTTTCTGATCGCCAGCTGTTTGTGGTGGAAACAGTGTTTTTCAACAACAATGATGCTGAGGTATTTGCAAAACCTCTTGCCGTAGGAGTCTGCCGTGGGGATCGAACCCGCTATTACCCTTTCCAAGGGCTAACGCGTTCACCACCACATCGTGTACGACCTTTGTTTAGCCTTTCTCTCAGCCTGAAAGGGTAATAAAAAAGTTAGATCCTCACCGCAAACATCAGCGGTCCAGAGTTTTGCAATTATTCCGGCGTTATTGTGGTTGATTTTGCATAAGACCCTGCCTAGGCAGTAAATAAAAAAGTTAACACAAGTTTATCCTTGTAGCCAAGTAATCCTGTCATTTATCAACTTTAGTCTCAGCTTCATTCCTACAGATACACACCAAATACGTAAATTATCGCGTTCATTCTGTGCCAACAATTTGTCCGCATAATCTCTGCGACACCGCACGCAATACGGCTGTCTAGTGCACATTTCTTCTTCGCATGTTTCGCCGTTTCGTGACGACCCTACTAAGGTCGGGATATTGGAGATCTACAAGGCCTGTGGGACAGTTGGACTTCTTTGGATCAAGATCGTTTTCCGTGGATCCTACGCAAAGACGACTTGCCGTCCAGTTCACGTGTGGAGTTTGTGGCAGTCGTCAGGTTTCTTTATGATTTTTCGTTTAATCCCCATCCATTGATTCTATTACTAACAAAGTTACTGCCGGATTAGGCAATATTTTTTGTTGAAGGGGTTACGCAGCCTGAAGTCTTTGGATGGTCTGAATTTAAGCTCAGCATTAATTAGACTATGTGTTCCATTTTATTGAAACCTTGAACGTGACAAAATATTCTTTTCGGCGATGGTTCGTTGATCTGATGTTTCTTTCAGCAGAACGATTTCAGGGACCAAATACCTTTTCTCGGAATTCCTACGAAAAAGGTGTCGTGATTGTAAGGTGTGACCGGTGCCAAAATCACCACGTTATTGCTGATAATCTAGGCTGGTTCAAAGATTTCAAGGTACATGGTAAACATGTCGTTTGTGATTCTTAAAGATATTAACACTCGCATTTAAGGGCCGAAACATTGAGGAGGTTCTGCGCAAGCGAGGCGTTACAGTAAAGAAAGGAATTTACGTCGAATCGGACTCACCGTTAACAGGTATTTGGAGGGTGACTTCTTTGCAGATGTTGTTCTACAGGAGATTAAATAGCCATTAAATTTCATCTAATTATATTGACATCCAATAGATTTCATCGTTTCATTTGTGGTAAACAAAGGATAAAGCTCTAGGCGCTGGTCTAATCCTGGGGGATGCGCCATGCACTCGACTTCATCGAGCATCGTTGGAGGTGACTGAGTGCATATTTGGTCTTCAAAGTGACTTCCTGTGGCCTACCCATGTATTGCGGCATTGCTGAAATCCTCCCAGACAAGTCTGGTACCAATTTGCCGCACCTGGAGGGATGGGAGGCTTGGTGGATCTGGTGTCCTGGGATCGGTCCCATGTGTAATGCAGGGCGCGTGCGACCACTGCGCCATACACTTCCTTCATTTGTGACATATTGTTTCCATTCGCTTTTCTCTTGGTTATTTTAGCAATATACAGAGAAATGCCATGAATTTCATGGACACGAGCCGACCTGATGGGTTCTAGGAAGGATTGCCATCCAGTGACACCGTTTCTTCCAGGCATTTGCTTTTAGACGAATCTTCGGGTCAAAATGTGCACTATTAGGCTCGGATAGCCCTGCTCTGGGGATGGACTTTCCACAGAAAATCGCAATGGGCCTAAAATTATTACAAATTAAATTCTAAAGGTCTTGCATGATAAATGATATAAGGTAAAGCTCTCGGCGCTGATCAATCCTTGAGAGAAGCGCCATGCATTCGGTTTCATTAAACATTGTTTGAAGATGGTTGAATGCATATATGGCCTTTACAGTGGCTCGCGGTGACCTACCGATTTATCGAGCCAGTGCTGTTATCCTCCCAGACAAGTCTGGTACCAATTTACCGACCCCAGAGGTATGAAAGACTTGGTGGGCCATGGGCGCGGGGATCGACTCAACGTGTGTGCTGCAGGGCGCCTCGGACCACTGCGCCACACGCATCCGTCTTGCATGATATGTGCTTAAAAAACATAAGTGTTAAACTGATATGGAGTAGCAATATAAACAGTAAATATTTATTGCAAGATATATTCGTAAGTTTTGCAACGTGAAAATTTGCAAAATTTTTCCAACCACTTGATGCTTACATTTCCATTTCAGGTAGCAGATGAGCAATGTTTACCATGGTCAAATTCCACTTTCATTGGTTTCTCGAGTATTCCTCGGAATTGGTTCCGCAGCCGCTGCTATCTCTGATCCAAGAAGAGGAGATATGATTGCTACGATGGGTGAAGTGACAGCCTCTGAATCGATTTTGGAAAAAATTAGGTCGGTTTCTGTCTTTCGTCATCATTTTTGTAAATGATTCTCGTTGGTTCCTTACAGACAACGAATGGAAAGCGATGTTGTGGGTCTACGTATTCTTACTGAGCGACCAAGAGTCACTAACGAAACTGTGGATAGAGAGTATCTTAGAGGGTTACCTGAAAATACATTAGGGAATGAATACGCTAAGTAAGCCTTAGTGGGGTTTTTTACTTTCTTCAATCAACTGTTGTAGTAAATTAGTGTCACAAAATACATTCAGATTCCTCGATAACTTGAAAACTTCTCCCGATGCGAGGCCTCCTGTGAGATTCGTGCAGAACGCAGAACTTGTTTATGTCATGCAGCGCTACCGTGAGACCCATGATTTCAACCACATCCTTTTGCAAATGCCTACGAATATGCTGGGCGAAGTGAGATGTCGAATATGATTGATTCTATATTTACATATATTTAGCTCGAACAGTGTTTATGTCTTTTTCTATTGGTAAGCTAACACAAGGTTGTCATCACATATTTATTCGGCTAAGGTTTCAATGTCTTCGCCTTCCTCAGAACCGATGATCCGAGTCGATCTTTAGGGTCCTTCCTACTCTCAGCGTGGTCTTCGGTGGAACATCGCTCGAACAAAGCTGCCTCATTCGGCGATGCTGTTTTATACAGGACAGACTGGACATTTACTCGGATCATAGGCCTTGAAGAAGACGAGGACATCGGAACGTTAACCGAATAAATATTTGGTGACAACCTCGTGTTAGCTTATCAATGAAACAAGACGCATTGCTATTCTATCCTCAATCTAAATGAAAGGGGTTTACAATGTCTAGGTGACAGTCAAGTATTTTGAAGCTATCCAGTTTGGTCTTCCTATGTGCGTAACTGCTGGAATTTTTGGAGCAGCCCGACTTGGGAAAAAGTAAGTCCTAGTTATGGTTCTAGAATTTTTTGACGTCTCAAACATCTTAAGCTTTTGTTTAATTTTTATAAGATTTTAGAGGATGTATTTTTATCTGGGCTATCGGTTAGTTACTGCCGCGATATAAGATTAGCTTCTGTATGCCACTGTTATATATGGTGTATGAAAATCATTTATCTAATTAACCATAACAGTCGACGCTAACGTGTTCGGTGCTGAGCAATTGCTTATGAATGTGGCATTCGACTCCATTAATCATCGCACTGTTGAGTTGGGGGTTTATAGGTAGAACAGGCTTCGTCCTATACCTCTAAAAGTATATACATATTTTGCAATACATCGTTTTTAACTCTTTAAAAAAATGCGATTCACTATGAACTGGTATATGTTGCTTTAGAGATGGAAGAGTGAACCATTTTAGGCCATTTATGAGTCGTACGTAACTCCCATTTTTGCGAATATATGAATCTATTAGTGTAACATCGTTTGTTATGAAATGCCTCCCAACAGTTTGCCGCCTCATCGTGGCTGGGAGGTGCTCCTGGATATCGGACTGCGATGTACAGTGGGGATTCGTCCTCCCAGCAGGGTCTCCCGAGGAGTCCGATGCTTCCATCAGGAAATCTAGCTAAGAGTAAACCAATACCAGGATCGACCACCGTCCTGGTATCAAAGTCGCATGGTGATAAACCACCCTCTGATCCACAAGGGCTGCGACTGCCTGTGGTGGTGACGACCTGGGGTAGGTTTTGGCCAAGCTGACCCCGGGATCCCATGGAATCACGATGGCTTAACCAACAAATCTCCGAAAATGGTGATTATGCTGGGGCCCGCACAACCAGTGAAGACAGGCCGTTCAGGTATCAAGTAGGTAAGTATTATGAAATGTAATGACTATCTTATAATATGATGCTTTAGCCACCGAAAACGTTTTCTCACTCGCAATCTTCCTTGGGTCGTAGAGCAAGCGTTACAATCACGGTTTCTGTTGGCTGTGGATTGGGAAAATCACTGGGAAGAACCAATACTGTCACTTCAAAAAAAAGTGGGTATTGTTCCGCTCACTTGAACATTGTCAGTCTATGAAGCTTGAAGAGTTTATAGTTCCACTTTCCTCCATTTGCTCCAGTACTAGTCAAGATAACAGCAGGATATGTCATGATGTGTTATGATGTAGTTGGGTTGTTATGCTTTTGTTATAATGACTCCGTCCTTGTTTCATCTTCCATTATTTGAACGTGCTTTACTTTCTACGTCTATTCAATGAGATATAACTTTCAGTGAACGTGGCGTGTTATGTTTAATGAAAATAAAATGACGCTTAATAATATGGCATACAATACTTATATGAATGAAAGAACTCAGAAGCGGGCCGAAAAATACCCTTGACTATTTAGCAAAATACGCCGCTAAAGATACGGGGCTTATTTGTGAGCGATGTGCTTGTAGAAGTGTTATTAGTTAACGTTTTATTCACCACCTACTATAGTTTTCACGGCAGGATATCACCTGTATCACTTGTAGTCCCGTTGATAGTCAAGTGACTTGAGCGGGCGTTAGTAAATTTTCCATTTTTCGTTGTCGCGTGGGTTTTGCTCGCTCTAGGGACTCTTCAAACAGCATAACTTTCTTCTAGGCTGTTCGTGAAGGTCTCTGACCATCGGGTCAGTGGCCTTCCTGCAGTACGTTTGACATCCCGAGGAATCCAGTCACTAACGGCTCTTGTCTATCGGTTGTCATTCATACGCATTAAGTGTCCGGCCCGCCTTATCTTCAACTGTTTGGTGTAACGGTATGTTTGATTTTTGGTTATTGACGCATTTCGGTGCTTCGGATCCCTTATCTTACCTGTGTGAAACGGGATACTCTCAATATCGCCCTTTCGACTACGCGTTCGATAACACAGAGTGATATTTCATCGTGCTTACGCAGCGACCAGGTTTCTGACGAATGCGTTAGGGCAGAAGTACCGTTGAGTCGAAAAGGTGGGCATGGAGTCGGCTGTTCTTTGTCTTCTTCGCTAGATTCTCGTTGCTTTTGAAAGCTGCTCAAGCCGCTCGTTTCCTTCTGCTCAACTCTGGAGCTAAGTCGTTCAACATGTTGATTTTCCGATCTAGATAGACATAGCTGGAGCACTCGGAAATAGTGGTTCCGTTGAGCGTGAATGGGGCATACGAAACCAATCCGTTCCTCATGAACATCGTTTCTGTGAGATTTAGTCGAAGATCACGGCAGGGTATGATGTGAAATACAACCACAATGATGCTGAGAGATTCGCAAAACTTGGACCCGGGCCGCGCAGGATTAGAGTGCTTATGTTGGACTGATTCAATCCCGCTTTCTCGATGGAGCCCTTAATAAAGACGACACGGTAGCTTTCATGGAGGGGTGCCGAAAAGCACAGAACAAGTGCTGAGGCTCTGTTTTCTTGATAAGTACACACGAGGCTTTTATTGTACCACTTACCGGTAGTTGCTGACGTTTCGTGAATCCTGTCCAGTTGTTTCCACTTGGATGAGCCTAACGGTCAAACATGATGACTCTTGGTCCAGGGAAGGCGTGAAAACGGACATTTGAGGAGAATGTTCAAACTGTAGGTACTAAAGAAGGTACAGTCTCCTTGCAATGTCAACAAGGGCTTGCTTATTTCTTAAAACCAACCGAGTGAAGAAACCTCATTCGATCGACGCTCTGCTCCAGAAGACTCGACCCGATGCGTCTGCGAAGACACCTATTGGAAAGACGAACGGCTGTGGACAATGGACTGGAGCCATCGCTACTCTGAAGCAGAGCAACGGAAACAGCCGAAACTACTTCCTACAACAACCTTGTGTAAACTTAGTAATCCAAAGTGTTTTTTTAGTCCGGGATTTGTAATATTCATTGTAATAAAAGATTAGATCGAGTTCTAGCGGATTCCTCATAGTGTAGCGTGTTTCACCCGCCCAAGACATGGGATAATGGGAACGGTTTTTGCTGATAAAATGGCTCCTTTTCCTTCAGTCTCTCTGCCACTCATCTGCTTACATAAACTGAAAAGCGCTTTGTCTTCCTGTGGCTAAATTTTTTACAAGATAGCGACCAAGTTGCGGAATAGCAGAGCATTACTGCTAGCTGGATAAGTTCTTCTTCCCATAGATGAACCCGGCTATAAATACTTCACATCAGTTCATCATAGGTGACCTTGTGAGAGGATGACCGCTTACTGTCAATTACAGTGCGATACAAAAACAGTACCATACAAACGGGGAGTCCTTTGATGTCGGTTCTGTAGCACTGCTAGGTCGTCAATGGATGCGGGTCTGGGCACTGTAACAAGGTGTGGATCGCCTGTATCACCTCATCTGCCGTCCAACTGGTCGTTGTGTGACTAGAGCGACCGCCAGTAAGCCTTCTATTTTTCCTGTCGCATGCAAGAGTAGCCCAGTAGGTTCTGCTGTAAGGATATCTCTTACAAAAAGCCTTCGCCGATAACTAGGACTTTACCACATTCTTGGAACTTCTCTAACCACCGTTCATAAACCCATCCCTTACGAAATGCGACAACGCGACACCATCTTGAAGCACATCGTAACCGAGATTCTCGTTTAACACGGTCCCTTCTAACAGCGCACATGAGCGGAGGACTGGGAACTTCAAGAGCGTTCGAACCCTCGATTAGCCTTTCCGCGAGCTAACAACCCCGTTAACGGCTGATTTTTGATGGCACTGCGAGGGTGAAAACATCGCTAAGAGAAAGGCAAAGCAAGAGCCTCGGTGGTGCGGTAGGTAGCACGTGAGCCCTCGGAAAAGGTAATCGCGAGTTCGAACCTGGCCTGGCGCTCTGAGTTCTGCTCATATCTCAGTATCCTTGAAGTTGTACTTCGCATAGTACCTTGTCGTGAGAAATAATAGGCAATGGATAAAAGTTGGTACATTGGATGAAAGGCTATTCGCAAGCTTTCAACCTACCTACGATACTGTGAAGTCTTATTCTTGTGAGATTCTAAGAGAATAAGGGGTACAAATAGCGCAGTTGTTAAGGGTGCTCTGCAAAACATTGGATCGACCACACAGCTCAGCCTACCCAAAACCTTCAATCCTTCCAGTCTCGGCAAAGTGGTACCAGCCCTGTCTGGGAGGATAGTAGCAATGGCTCGATACATTGGTAAGCAACGGCGGGTCATAGTAAAGGTCAGATATGCGTCAACCAAGCTTTAGCATACTAAAAATGGAGTCGGATGCGTGTCAGATCCTTCACGGGAGAACATGAAACTTCTAGGAAATGTGGCGGTCCTGATGAGAACCGTCGAACATCAATGGTTCATGAAAAATAGCGCAATTGACATTCGAGCACACTTGCCAATCGTCGACCGGTTGTTCTGAGGTCGTGCACGTCCAAATCCTGCTTGAAACTTGAGAAGATTTCTACAGACGCTATTTCCTGCTGTTATTTCTGTTTCCTGACGAGGTATCACTTTATTTTTTCTGGCAATATGGCGAAGAACATGGAGAACACAAGTTATCGGAAGATAGACGTTGACGCTTACGATCCGGAAAACTACAACGAAAATGAGGATGGTGAGTGGATTTCTATAATAGAAATACATGACAAAAGTGTTACCATTGTGATACAATGTAGTCTTTGTCTTTGCCTTTTACTATTTGGTGCTCTGGAGAGGCCTCAAACTATGTGGTGGAACTTTTTTTGCCTTTGTAAGGTTGGTGGCTACAAAATGAACACCGAATAATGAAGGCTTTTTAAAATCATATGACCTGATGTATCACACCTTGGGGATCTCATCACTTCTTGGATTCGATTCGTTTCTTCACATCCATCATCCAAGAAGATCTTCGAACTTTTTTTGGCATGTGGCTCGGTTCTGCTCGAGGATTTTTCGTCACGAATGTCGTTAAATGCTGGTTGAGTCGATTCTCCCTTGATGTCTTCTGATAGCTCTGCTAGGGCGTTTCCACGTGGATTAGAGAGGTTGAGCTTGTCCCACGCAAATTTGGTACCTATGTCGCAACCTCGAAGGGACGAGAGGCTTTGTAGGCGAGAAGTAAGATCGAACCAGCACCTGGGTAGGTTGAGTCCTCCGCGTCGTGAACAGGGCCACTTTGTTCTTTATTATACGCAGTCGTAGAAAAGCCTCAAACTATAAGTTTGAGTTATTTTTTCCATTTGTAAGATTAGTGGTAACAAAATGAACGTCTTCGAACAGTAAAAGATAGGTAGCTTAAATAAGGGGTCCGATATCAGTAGCACCTTTAATATTTAGAATTAAATGTAGGATATATATCTAACTTGGATGCTTGAATGGCCCGTCTTCACTGGTTGTGCGGTCCACAGCATAATTTCCACTTTTTCAAAGTTTTGCTGGTTTAGCCATTGTGTTTCCCTGGAGTCCCGAGGTTAGCCTAGCTAAATCTGCCTCAGGTCAACGACCACCACCACAGGTCGTCGCCGCCCTCGCGGACCTGACCTGAGGGAGATTTGCCACCGTGCGTATAGTTCGGTACTACGACGGTGGTGTAGATCCCTGCATTGGTTCACTCTTAGCTGGAATTCCTGATCTAAACACCGGACTCCTCAGCTTGTGAGATCATACTGAGAGTGAATCCTCTAGCTGTACATCGCAATCTGACACCCAGCATCACCTCGCAGCCACGGTGAGGTGGTAAACCGTTGGGATGTAATGTGGGATGTATATTACTGTGAGCATGTGAATGTTTTGTTGTAAAAGTGTCAGTATAGGTAATGGCACTGCTTATGTTACTTCATAAGGTGTTCATCATCCAGGAAGTTCTGTTCGTAATTTTAACTTATTATTTACTGCCTACTCTTTTTAACCGCAAGGTATACATTGTGAAATATAACTTCAATGATGCTGAGATATTTGCAAAACTCCGGACCGCAGGTGTATGCGGTGGGGAACGAACGCGCTATTGTCCTCTCCGGGGAGTAGCGCGTTCACCACCACACCATGCGGGTCTTTCGTTTCGCCTGTCTCTCAGCGCGTTCGTTCCCCACCGCATACACGTGCGATCCGGAGTTTTGCAAATATCTCAGCATCATTGAAGCTCTGTTCGTATTCAGAAAATAGTATAGTAAGTGTCATTCGTAAGTCAACCAATGATAGTAGTGATGGTGACGATAACAATGATAAGTAATGACAGTAAGTCTAATAGCGGTAGTATTGGGAAGGGTACTTGATACAGCACGAAAGGTGCGGTTCCTCTGGACTTGTATGTCTTTGCGTTTTTATATTAAAAGTTAATCGGAGAATCGTTTTCAGTTGGGGACACCAGTGGTCTCGGTCCCGATGAACGAACTGTAACGTCACTCCTTCAAACTAATCGGCTTGAAGAGGCACTTCACGCTGCATTACTAAATCCTCCGTTGAAATGTAAAAGCCAGGTACACTTTGAGTCTCTTCTTCGTTTTAATCTCTTAGACTCCTTGGAGACTTCTGTCAACATTGGTGGACTATGATGGTCAAAGGGCTTTAATTTGAGGTCTGTTTTTAGTCCCTTGAGCTTTTTTTGGTGAACTGGAGAGTGGCACCACCATCATGGGAAAAATTATGGAGTTTTTGTTTGTATCGTTTGAGTTGGGCAAAGAAACAATGTAAGACATGCTGTCTATGTATCGCATGCATCTTTTGAACATAGAACCCATTGGTTCTTCAGAGGAAAGCGGAGATTTCCAAAGTTTTCTCACTTGTTTCATTCACATCAACTACGACGAACAAGAACCTTATCCATTCATCCTTGTTCCAGTAGATTCCTAATAAGAGTTTTCCTCATACCACCCATCTTCACTTGTGCCGTTTTCAGCTCTTCTTGCATTCATTGTATCTGTTGTCTTGCATCCGCGATGATGACCAGAGTTATCAAAATAGAACTGTCGAACAGTAGGGCGCGTGTAGCGGAATGGTCGGAAGCACCCTGCTATACACATGGGATCTATCCCGGCGCCCCAGGCCCACCAAGCCCTCCATCCCTCCAGAGTCGGCAGACTGGTACCAAACTTGTCTGGGAGGATAGCAGCATTGGCTCGATACATCGGTAGACCACCGCGAGTTATCGTAAAGGCCAGATATACATTCACCCACCTCCAAGCGATGCTTGTTGAAGTCGAATGCATGGTGCATCCATCAGGCATTAATCGACGCCAAGAGCTTTATCCTTTTTATCCTTTATAGAACAGTAGGAGAAATTTAGTATTCAATACTTACTTTTTCGGGCGAACATATAAACTAAAATGTGGACGCTGTACATCACACGGTGCATTAAGTGAATGCAGTTATTTCAGCCTGTAAAAGATAAATGTACAATGTTAATTGCCAAAGTACTCGGCACGTTCAAATGGAACGAAATTGAACCAGTTGTAAAGGTGTGTATCAGGTATACCTCTCTTCTTTCTTAGAATAAATGTACTTCTCCTTTTTCACCTTTCGCATTCAGAAAATTTCAATTGATGAAGCGGATATTTTGATGAAGTTCATCTACAAAGCTATGGAAATAACACCGGAAAATGCCTTATGTCAAACCCTATTGGCTTGGCATTCACTGGTGAGCATTTATTTTAACAGGCGCCTGCTTTCAATAACATAACCAATTAAAGCTACCGTACCATCCTTTCGTGCTTACGTCATCTTGCTTGGATATTTGGATGGCCAGTCGTCAATGGTTGTTTGGGCCAAAGCGTAGTCTCCAAATTTTCGGAGTTTTGCTGGTTTAGTCATTGTGGTTCTCTGAAGTCACGAAGTCAGCCAGGTCAAAGTCTGCCACAGGTCGTCACCATCACGGACAGTCGCCGCTTTTGTGGATTAGAGGTTGATTTGCCGCCACGCGACTAGTTTGATACCGGGACGGTGGTGGATCATGGTATTGGTTTACTTCTAGTTGATCTTTCTGATGGAAACGCCGGACTGCTCAGCTTGGGGACCCTACTGTGGTGGAGGATGAATCCCCTGCTGTACATCGCAACCAGACATCCAAAAACACCTCACAGCCACGATGAGACGGAAAACCTTTGGAGGCTTATTTAATCAATTTTCCCAATTCGGAAAGATTCTACGTCTGGTCTTTTAAGTCACTTTCGTTCAGCTCGTGGCACGCTTCGGACTAGGGACAATAATACGTGTGTTCTCAGAAAGAGGTCGTCTATAGTCATTCCTGCTGATCTACTGTAGGAAATTGTGTCGCTTATACTCATTTTTTTGCCTCACAGTAGTTCTACTTGTTAAAATTCACATTTTTATGCTTTATGCTAATTCTATTCTATTCTTATCATTCGTTTAAAGTGCTCTAATCTATTCACTTCGAGAGATAAACGACTGGCGACCATTTCTACCTTTGTCTTGCTTTATGCTCAAAAGTTTTGTGTAACGTATAGTCTTCCATATTAAATTGACGGTTTATTGAGCGTCGTACTAAGATATGCATTTCAATGTGGAGAATATACAATGTTTATATACAAATGAAAGATCCATTTATGAATAAGGAACCAGAAATTTGCCCACCTACCGTACAGTTCGCAATGTGACCCAAAGGTTTGGATTACAAGGACGATGACACGAAAGCTTAGAACCCATCAAACAGTGGACACAGTGGTTTCTTCTGAACTCAATAGACGTATCTTGTGGCACCTAATGTATGACATACGTCTTCCATTTTTTTTAAAGCGATAGAATTTTCTCATAAACAGAAACTGATCAATAAGCAAAAAACAAGATTTTGTAAGTTTTTCCGTCCAAACAATGATACGACTAGTTTTCTGCAGTGTGGGACGACGACTAATTTTCTTTAGCTCTCACATATTCTTTGATAACTGCTATACTGGACGGTGCTGCAAATGGCTCAGTGCTTAGAGGTATCCTAGAATATTCACATTGCCATTGATTCGATCCTGCACTCCGAGTTAACCAACCCGTCCATCAGGGTCGGCAAATTATTACTTGTCTAGGTGTAGCATAACACACCATAACCATGTCTAGCATAACTGACTTGATACATCGATGCTTCCCCGCAAGTTATTGTACAGGTCATGCATTCAATCACCTCGAAATATACTGGATGAAGTCCTGTAACCCTTCCCTCAGGGATTCATCAACGCCAAACGCTTTGTCCTTCATCTTTCAACTAATGTACTTGTGAAACTGAGAAGTTGACATATTTCTAGGATAGTCTTTGATTTGTCGCAACTTTAATTTTCCTTAGAAGTTAAATTTTCAGGTAATGAGGAATTTCAAATAAATAAACACAAATGCAGGAGGCAGCGTCGTTGCCGTTTTAAGGCGACACTTTGTAGCTTGATAGACGAAATCCCGTTTGTTCAATCACTTCGCCGTTCGAGATAGGAGACTCGAAAAACAATGGACAAATTCCATTTTGTGGGTTTCGCGAATCGGAGTTTTATTGTTATGCAGTAGTAGAGTTTGTACCCAATTGGAAAGGTCCTTTAAATCCTTTTGGTTCTTATTAAGATTAATGAACACCATTAGGTGAAGCTTGTTTGTTTGATGCACTGATGACCGCATAAGTCGAATATATCATTCCGGCAGCAGTCAAAAATTGGGTATCGTCCAACGTCAGCACCTCACCGTATGTTGAGCAACATCGTCAATATGTTATGGTTCAGAGCGCCTGCGATTTTCAAGCACACAGGAGTTATGGTTGCGAAGTAACTCGACAATCATGTGTGGCCTATGACTCATCCACCGAAACTGTAGTAACTCTTCCGTCATTTCCTTAGCTAGAAGTTAAACAATTCACGTATCTTAAAGAAAATCAAAGTCCAATTCCCACAAAACTCAAGCTTAGACATCAACGAGGAAATATAAAAAAAGGAACTGGAGCTTTTTCATCCTCAAGCCAATTGGAGAACTCTAAGTGAAACACATAAACTGTGCAGAGACCCAAAATCATGACCAAATATTTCGAATCCTTTGACGCAGTATGCGACAAAAAACTGAAAGTTCCGGCGTATTTCATTCCCTGAGGAGGCGCCATGCATTCAACTTCACTTAGCAGTGTTAGAAGTGAATAAACATATACTTGGCCTATAAAGTCACATGCGGTGGTGTACCGATGTTTCAAATCAGTGCCGCTGTTCTCGCAAACAAGACACTAATTTGCTGATTCTAGAGGAATCGAAGGTTGGCGAGCGTGTGGCGCAGGATTGAACCAACGATATCTGCACTGCACGGTACCTTTAGGCATTGCGCCACATGCACCGCGTATATGTGATGACGAGTAGTTATTGGTGCTGACATGATACGACGCCTAGCTTCCTGTTAACAAAAATATTGTTTTTTCTTGCAAACTACTAAATGTCGAATATAGCTCTTCTAAGTCCAGGACTGATAACACAGCTACAGTGGAGAAGCTTTCAAGAGAGTAAGAAGAGAAGACACCAAAAAACTGCAAGAAAAGGAACCATCAAAAATAAAACACACTGCAATAGCTGTGCACTGTTACAAATGCGTAAAAACCATAAGTATGATCGCAAAACCAGCAAAACTAAATAGAAAACTATGTTTACAAAACATTTTGAACATTTCACAGGAAACTGTGACTGCTCGTGGTTTTCATAACACCAATAAAGTGCTGGAAATCACTCTTTGATAAGGAAGTGGTCATCAAACTGCTAGAACACATCAATAAAAGCAATAAAACAACGGACATACACATTGATATTAAATAGTGGGATATACTTAATCCAATGTCGAGCCAACTACCTTCGTCTTTGAGTTGGTGAAAGAAACACTGGAAAGTTCAGTTTAGTTACGTTTTTTAAATCACATTCCGGATAACAGTAATCATTATTCCCTAAAGGAAGTATGGCAGTTGTCATGGAAAATAAAACTTAGAAATGACTAGCTGAGAAAAAGGCGAAGCGAAGGACCCGCATGGTGTGGTGGTGAACGCGTTAGCCCCCGCAAAGGGTAATAGCCTGTTCGATCCTCACCGCAGACACTTGCGGTCCAGTTTTGCAAATATCTCAGCATCACTGTGGTTGTATCTCACATAATACTCTGCCGTGAAAAATTGTAATAGGCAGTAAATAAAAATTTAGCATAACGAAATGACCGATGAGCGACAAACCATAGCCATAAGGTCAGTCAGTATAAGTACTATACACGAAAGTCGTTGAATAGCCTTTCGATTGAACCGTAAAACCGCAGAAAGCAATAACGACACCATTAATAAGGGTATAAACAGCTTGAACAATAACAACGTTGCCATTGTAAAGGGACTGGAATCAAGAATGAATAGTAGGAAAGACCACGACACTGAAGTTGTAAAGTAGTACCTGAAGACAGAGATAAATTTGTTTAACGATGACGGATTGAACGAGTTCATCGAGGCAAAATTTCCGGTCCCAAACAATGATGCCAGCACAAAACACATACATAGTGCTGCTATCCTCAGTTCAGTTGCACTTACTCGACCTGATCGCAACGCGCCCACTAAAAATTGGTGGCTATACTATAAATGGATATTTAAAAAGGCATCTGGAACTGACCTGGTAAATGTAAAGAACGATCAGCAGGCATAACAAGAAACTCCGTGTCTGATATTTCGTGAAATTCAAATCGAAGAAACATTAGTAGTAATGGTATAAGACATAATATAAAAAATGACTCATATGCGATCGACAGTAGAGAGTACGGAACAAAAAGTGAGGCTGTAAGCATTTTACATACCACAGCTTAGACTAAAGGACAAACGATAAAGCTCTCGGCGTTGATCAATTCCTGACTGATGCGCCACGTATTCTACTTCATCAAGCATCGTTGGATGTGACTGGATGCATATTTGACCTTTACAATAACTCACGGTGCCCTACCGATGCACCAAGCCAGTGCTACTATGCTCCCAAGCAAGGCTGATTCCTGAGGGATGGTGGCTTGGTGGGCTTGCGGCATGGGAATCTATCCCATGTGTATTGGAGGGCGCACTCGACCACTGGACCACACGCGCTCCGTCACCTCAGACTATAGAGTTTAATGCGTAGGAGAACTTACAGATATACCAAATGCTTCTATCGACTATCATAGGTGGTGAAAAGAGGGGAAGAATCAACGACAGCGGTAAAGAGCACCATGACATGAATCGGAGAAAAGCTGGCGGCTAAAATTTGTCAAGAATTATTTTTGAGAAAAAGTCATTAAACCATTGAATGATGCAAACAAGCTGTCGTCTTAAATTAGTGGTTAAATTTAAATAAATCACACACCAAATATATGGACTATCAGGAATGAGCATACCTTTTGAAATACATAGGTCGATAAGAATACCATGCCAGTTGTGATAAACAATAAACCAGACAATTTTCGAAAACCATCCCGCTTCTGCTTTAGGAGTGGATGCTGGGATAAATTCCATACCAGTGTTCCAAAAATGATTGGTGCAGAAACACAAAGCCACGGCAATTCGAATTTTCCCACATTCGGGAAAAAAGGGAATGGTAGAAGAATCAAACACAATATACACCAACTTTTCGACCTAAACGAAAGTGGAAAAATACTTCTTAGTGCTCAAACACCACATTAGATTCAGTAAATGACAATGAATACTTTATAACGAAGTCTATTAAGCGTAATTGTAAATTCGGAAACCCACCGTTTATACACTGTGACTACCACGGAGAGAATGTCATGTTCATTATAGTTCGGTATTTTAGATGATGGATGCAATGAGTGTTTATCGTACTATTAGGAAATCGTCTCCCACCTTCCAACGATTTACCGCCTCATCATGGCTGGGAGCTGTTCTCGGGCGTCGGTCTGCGATCCCCCAAGCTGGATCTCCCAGTTTGAGAAAGAGTCCGATGTTTCCACCAGAAAACCCAGTTTGGAGTAAATCAATACCACCGTCATGGTCTCGAAGTAGTCGCATAGTGGCAAACCTTCCTCCGATCCACGAGGGCGGCGATTGCCTGTAGTGGTGACGACCTGGAGCAGACTTTGGCTAGGGTGGCCTTGGGATTTCAGGGAACCACAATGACTAAACTAGCGAAACTCCGAAAGATGGACATTGTGCTAGGGACCGCACAAGCAGTGAATACGGGCCATCCAAGTGTCCAAGTATATTAGGAAGTCATCAATATTTGCGAGATTCACTAACGTAGCAGTTCGAAAGTAAAATGATTCCCACTTAAACGGATTTGAGAGGACAGCGCTAACGAACAACCTAAATGATGCGGTAAACTAATTTTTCTTAACACGTGCCTTCAAATGGACACTAACACGTAGAGTTTGACACCCGTTTCATTACGAGTTGAAATCAAATAATGCCGGCTAGTCCGCCTCCTTAGCGGATGACGTCATAGCTTTTATCATTATCTTCATCACATCTATGTATACAGTCAGTGACTTCAGAGCTTTTGTTTCGCTTTGTTCTCAAACTCTAAGTATAACAAACACATTCACTAACCGTTCTTGAACAACTTTTTCAGCGAACATGTTTGGAACCACGGTGAGGGTGATAAATAGCACAGCAAGAAATCTACGATCCACAAAAATAATAACGTTTAGGAAAAGAGACACACCTAAAAGAATACGAGAAGTACAAAAAAAATCACAAATTGAATATTAAAAACGAATCTTTAGAACCAAAAATTGCTTGATAGTAATGTAGGTGAGGTTAAAAACTTACACAGACCAATCAACCCTAGTAAGGTATTCAGTAGGAATGCCAAGGGCGCTGATGCATGATTTACCAGGCATTGGTGAGTAAACTGACTGATGTTTGTTTTAAGATCCAGAATATTTGAAATTAATGAAGACAAAAATATTGGCAGCAGCAAATATATCCAATTTGTTAAAGGTAGTTGGCAATATAGGCAGAATACCAGCATGCAAGCTATTATTCCGATGAATACTCGGTTAGGAACAACCGTAGATTTCGTGAACATCGGTTTAGAGGCGTCTCTGAAACATGATCCGAAAAATATGCCTTTTGATAGTCTGTCCAATTGGCTTCATCCCAAAGAAGAATGAATAAAGGATAAAAAAGGATAAAGCTCTCGCCATTGATCAATCGCTGATAGATGCGCCATATATTCGACTTCATTAAGTAACGCTGAAGGTCACTGAATTTGTATTTGGCTTATGCAATGACTACCGGTGGCCTATCAATGTATCGCGGGAGCGCTGCTATCCTCCCAAACAAGTCTGACGGCAATTTTCCAACCCCAAGGAATGGAAGGCTTGGTGAGCCACCGGTGTGGAGATTGATCCCATGCCTATCGAAGGGCGCCCCCGACCACTGCGCTATAAGCACCCCAAGGAATAATAATGTTAAACTTTAGATCAAACCTCGTAAGATAACACCACACCAGCCAAATCCATGAAATGAAACAGAGGCTCACGCCCACACCAAGAAATGAACGATCGTATCGATGGTAGTAAAATATCGCCATTTTAATATACGGCGCATTTTGTACAAATAATGAGGACGCAACAGAAAAACGTCTGAAATAGGAAGTCCAACTTTCTTCAATGGCTACACGAATGATTTAGCCTAAAAGGCTATGTACCGTAGTCTTCCCAGCTTGACTAACTCCTCCTCAAGAGACTCTAAAGCATGCAATCCAAACTGATCAAAATCTTTAAACCATAGACGTTTAGCCTTTTGAGCTCTAAGCACCATGAACTGTTCTTTGAGCTGAAAAGTACAACAATGTAGCGTTCAGATGAAAACACCCGATGGAGTTAGAAAGAAGGAAATTATGGAGGCTAAAAATCAAGTGCGTAAAAGTAAATAATATAATAAATAAACACAAAAAATAAAAAAGCAAAGATTGGCATTACCTGTAAAAAGTTAGAAAAACTGCTTTTGAAGAGATAGTAAGGCGAAACATCAAAAAGTTGAAATGGTAGAATACCTAGTGAATTTACAGGTATAGGAGAACCAATAAGAGAAGCGAAAAACGGAGTGAGGTCAATCTGAAACCCCACTGATAAGTGAAACAAAGGTAAACTCCAAGTGGAAACAACGAACTTGGTCGATTGTGACAGAACTGCCTCCTTTTCGTATTCCGGCTCCCCATGCGACAAATGGAGTTAGAACCTATAAAGTTAATGGAGGACTCAATAATGCCTAGTGAGCAAACAAAGCGAATATAAAGTTTCTGATAATTTAGGCGCTTGTACCTCTTCATCACTTCCAGCACCGTGCGATCCCCAATCCGTCATTCCGTGATCAGAAGTGAAAACCCACGCGGTGGACTGATCGTCGAAAAAGCTATCAAATACCCGTTGCATTCGCTGTATGCCGCGGTCAACCACTAAAACGCAATTACTGCCATGCCTAAACTTTACTTTTTTGGGCACAGTGGTAGTGATGTCGGCAATCACGAACATGGTGCTCGTTTGATCCTGCTCCAAGGTCACCAAACCAAGTCATTCCTCTAGGGTCGGAAAATTGGTGCTGGACTGGGCCGGAGGAAAACCGCTCTCTGTTATCCAAGTAGGTACGCCCTAGCCAGGACCCAGGGTGAATCAACTCGACTAACATTGAACGACATTCGAAATGAAAGGAAAGTACTATAGAAAAAAATTTTTCAAAGAAAATAGACCTTCAATATTATGAAGATACTCCTGAGAATGTGGTTTATTACCGTGCCCATTCGTATCCAATCCTAATAGATGCAAGAAGAAAACACTTCTGTTCGAGAATAAACTTGACATCAGCGTAGGATTATTTTTCGCTTTCTTAAAAAAAACCTGAAAAGCAATCATTAGTCCTTTACAGCCATAACAAAGCTACAGGGAAACACACCTCAACCTGTTCGAAAACCCATTCGTCAAGCTTGCATGCCTCTTTTGATCCAAAATCCTCGTCATTTTCAGAATACATAAATAAATGAGCAGTAGGGTTATTGTCAAAAAGAGAAACAATGTCTGGACTGCCCCACAGCCATGCTGCACCAGATCTAAAAATTGTTAACAAATTTACTTGGACACTTCGATGCTCCGTTCTCACTGGTTGTGGTGGCCAAAGCATAATTTCCATTTCTTCAAAGTTTTGCTGGTTCAGCCTTCATCGTTCCATGGAGTCTCGAGGTCAGCATAGCCAAAGTCTGCCCCAGGTCGATGCCACCACAGGCAGTCGCTGTCCCTGTGGATCAGAGGGTGACTTGCCACCATGCGACTAGTTTGATACAGGACGGCGGTAATTCCTGGCATTGGTTCTGGTTTATTCTTATCTGGGCTTCCGAAAGGAAATGTTGCACTCCTTCCCAGTTTGGATGAGTTTGCTGGGGTGATGAATCTCCCGCTGTACATCGAAGCCCGACACCCTCAAATACCTCCCAGCCTCGATGGATAAGGCGGCAAACCGTAGAGACGGTAAACTTGCTTACCTATTGAAAATACTGTCAAACTGGACGGGATTGTATTTCCATCCTCGTGCCACTGCACTGACGTCTTCAGTGAATCCAGCAAAGATTGCTACATGTCCTGGACGAGACTCAGTCGGTACATGACTGCGGGAAGTTCCGTGCACTCCCTTTTGTAATAATACATAGTTAGTCTTAAATTGAAAGACAATGAACTACGAAGAAAAAGATAGTGCGGATTGCTAAACAATCCAGAAATTTCGCTACAAAAGGCTTCTAGCCACTTGCTATAAGTTCTATCGAGAATTAAGGTTTCGTTTTAAGCAAGCGGAATTGAACAACGAAAGATTACAACCAGGCGCCTTGAAAACAGCAACCAACAATTTCACTAATGCAAAATACTTTTCGCTAACCTTTCGCTCTCTGATCAGCGAATGCAAAAAGGGTGATCTTTCGCTGTGTTGGAAGAATGTGTCAAGTCGTAAGCCATCTAGATAAACCTAACATTAGTCAAATTAAAAGTCGTATCCTCATCAAATGGATGACGACTTTAGGTCTGAACTGGAAATACCGCCTAATAGTAGTTTAGGGACGCAAGTTATTCCATTTATATACTCATGAAACAAATATAATATCCATAGTCGCCTGTTGTTTGCTGCTTATTCTTTTTTCACGGCAGGCTATGATGTGAAATATAACCATGAAGATGCCGTGTCATTCGCAAAACTCCGGATCACAGGTGTTCGGTAGGAATCGAACCCACTGTTACCGTTCTCGGGGCCTAATACGTTCACCACCACGCCATGCGAGTCCTTCGTTTCGCTTTTTCTCTTTGATTTGTGCTTTCCAGATCAATCCCGCTGACGGGTGATTGCTGGTAGTACCTATAAAACATGGTTGAAAGAAAAGGCGAAATGGAGGACCTGAATGATGTAGTGGTGAACACGTTATCCTCAGAAAAGGTAACAGCGGGTTCGCTCCCCGCCGCAGAGAGCTGTGGTCCGGGGTTTTGCAAATATTCCGGCATTATTACGGTTATAACATCTGTGCTAGTAAGAATGAAACGCTTAGTCCTCATATAATATGTGGTCAAGAAAAAGTAAAGTGAGATGGCTAACCATTAGTCTCCTTAGTGAAGATGTTTGAAGTCCACTAATAAACTATCCAGGTTCCCTAGACTCCAATAACTACCAATACTTGTCGTTCATACTTTCTATGTTTACTAGGAGGAACCGTTTGAACCAAAATAGCCCTCCTAATGAGTGAATTAGTCGAACCTCAACTAGGTCATAGTCAAAGCAAAGAAGCATTTTCGTGTAAAAACCGACCAACCACCAATGACTAGACCGAACGTTTAGATGCATTAATGATATGGACAAACTGTAAAAGCTCTTAGCAACTCCTAACCGAGAGAGATACTTCCCTAGATTTCCACAATCTGTACCCAAACTAAGTCCCCGTTCTCCGTACTTTCTTAAACAACAAATCGCCAAGTTAAACCGGGAAAACTCTCTTAATACGATTTAAGAGTATTCGACTTTATTGGTTGATTTAAAGAACATACCAGCCGATATAACAACTAGGCGTTTTGCAGGAGGATTTTGATTTGTGATTTCATGTGCTGGGACGTTCGAAATAACGGGAGACGTGTAGTAGATATCGAAAATCGAGTATATCAGGACAGCATGAATAAGGATACCAGCGAGAGCAAAACGCCATTCCATCTGCAAAATCACGGTAAGTCGAAGGAATCTTTATCCTGAAAAACATGGCAACGAATGTTCTGAAGCGGTACACTTTGACCTTTTTGATCCTTTTTCCAGAGTATATTCAAGAAGATTGTGTGAAAAAGTGGAAGAACGTACTTTTTGTGGCAATGTGTCTACTTTACTAGGGAAATGACTGCTCCAAAACAGCTCTTTAGTCCCTAAATGATCGAAATTTTTCCCACTATGACTAACTGCATCTTTAGCTGGTATGGAGCACAAGAAGAAATTGCATAGAATACGAAGAGATGCATGGACATCATCTCGGTATCGTATCGGGTTTGGTTTTCTTTAGGACGCCATTAATTTTTTTGGCTTTATTAACACCTTTCTAAGTCCTTTACGATCAATAATCATAGGAAAGAATGCTACTCTGCTCTTTCCCTAGATCCACCGTATTTCACATGAAATCCGCCAACTGCTAACGACAGAAACCATTTTCTAATCTTTCTGTGGCCATATATTCACGATCCATACTTGGTGGAAGTATAGAAGATTAAAATTGTCGAACCATAAAGTGAATTATAGTAAGAAGCCTCTTTTTCCACTTTTTCCTCTTTTGCCAATCATGTTTGGTATCAACTTGCTGACCCCGGAGTGATTGAAAGCTTGGTAAGCCTTGGGTGCGGGCATCGATTTAATGTGTATTGCAGGACGCTTCCGACCACTGCGCTACACACCTCCGTTCAGTTTCTATACTTCTACCAAGTACGAATCGTGAATATGTGTCCACAGAAAGATTAGAAAATAGTTTCTTTCGTTAGCAGTTGGCAAATTTCATGTGAAATACGGGGAATCTTGGAAGAGAGCAAAATGCCGTTTTTCACTATAACTGGTGACTGTAAAGGACTTAGAAAGGACTTCATTAAGCCCAAGAAAATATTGGCGCTCTAAAAAAGTGAAACTTCCAACATACTGTTTTTAAGCTTCCGTATGACGATTATGACCAGTACCATTTATACTAACCATGACGTCAAGTACCGAGCAAGGTAACTATCCCAGAGCAGGGAACTGGGAAGTTCATGTGAGCCACACTTGGTTGAGATACACAACCTAGTCAGCTTTCATTGTAGGAAGTAAGCTTCGTGAGCAATAGAGACAAATCTCAGGAATGAAAAAACCGACTCCTAAAGTCGTCGGAGGAAGAAGTTGTCGTCTTCAAGTGGAGCGTCCGTAGTAGAATTTTCACGACGGCACGATTACCACAGTGTATCAGTTGTCATCTTATTCGTCGCGAATTTTAAGTGTTTAGTTGACGAATAGCAGGGCAACGTTTTTCAAGACGAGCGTCATCTCTCCATCTCTCTTCATTCTTTCTTCATTCTTCATTCTTCTCTTCATCTTAATTCTATTCATTCTTCGTGTCTCCATTTCTCGGATCGAACGTTGAACTTTAGAAGACATACAGTTGTGGATATCGAGTCGGATCCTCGGCTCTGAGGAAGAAAAAGAAGTCGAGGTATTGGTTTACTCTTAGCTGTGCTTCCCGATTGAAACGCCGGACTCCTTAGCTTGCGAGACCCTGCTGGAAGGATGAATCCTTCCGCTGTACAAGTCCGACACCCAGGAAAACCTTTCAGCCATGATGAAGATGTAAACCGTTAGGAGGATAAGGTCGATTAACTATCGTTGTTTTAGGAAACGCTAGAATATCAAGAACCTGACGTCAGCAATCCTATCCAAAGCGGGACACCACTCGACGGAGTTGTTATCGATCTTCTAAAGAAACTTAAGAAAAAAGCTGATGCAATCCATAAAGTGAATGTGACAAAGGTTAGCGTAGTGTTTTGTCTAGTCCTGTTCATATTTTACGTTTTTCATTCCCTCATTTGTTTCATTAGCCACAGTTGGGTCAAGGTAAGTAGACTCAGTACTTCAACTATGGGTAAGCCTGAAGTCACAGTGAGATTATCATGGTTGAGCAAAGGAAAATCCGTACGATTTTGATCGCTATTGTCATGTCTTCCTTTGTCACGTGTAATTTATGGCATCATATTTTTTTTTCGTGCTTTTTGATTCAACTCATGAATAATTCCGCTAAGCACGTCTCTGGAGTATATTCTAGAAAGTTTTACTACCATTGCTCCCATTTGGTGCCAGTAATCTAGATTGGAGATATGGAAAAGTCATCCGAGACACTTTCGTAGTTTTAGATCAAAGCCAACTTCCAGTGTGGGACCAATCTGGATTAGAGATTTGGGGGTAAAGAGTCTTTCGGTGAACCAGTTAGTAAAACATTAGCTTTCAGAGTTGGTTTTGTTCAGACACCTATTGGTGATTTTCTGGTAACAATTTGAATGCTGTATAAAAGGGTAAAAGATAAAGCTCCTGACGTTGATCAGTCTCTGAGGGATAGGTCATGTATTCGATTTCATTAAGAATCGTTGGACGTGACAGAATGCATATCTAGCCTATACACTTGACTGGCGGTGGCATTCCTATGTATCAAGTCAATGGTCTTATCTTCGCAGGCAGATATGACACCAATTTGACGACCCTGGAAGGATGGATAGCTTGGCGAGCCTGAGGTGATGGATCGAGCGCATATGTATTGCGAAGCGCCCCTAACTACTGCGCTACACTCGTCTCTCTGAATGATGGATGGACGTTATGAATGAAACTGTTGTATGTTGAAATACAACCAAGATGATGCTGAGATATTTGCAAAACTCCGGACCGCAGGTGTCTACGGTGGGGAACGAATGCGCTATTGTCCTTTCGGGGGTGTAACGCGTTCACCACCAAACCATGCGGGTCCTTCGTTTCGCCTCTGTCTCAACTAGTTCTATCGATCGACTCCATCAGCAATAACCCGTCGTCAACATATATATATATGTATATATATATCTCAGCATCATATTAGATGTATTCCACATGATACCGTACCGTAAAAAATTATAGTAGGCAGTAAATAAAAAGGTTAAGATTGTGATTTCAACTTCAGCCTCAACTTAACTAGGTTCGCTGCCGATTTGGACTCCCTAGGGCAGTCCCGTTGAAGGGTGATTGCTGATGGCGCCGATCGATAGAACTAGCTCAGAGACAGGCGAAACGAAGGAAACGCATGGTGTAGTGGTGAACGCATTCGTTCCCCACTGCGGACACTTGCGGTCCGGAGTTTTGCAAATATCTTAGCATCATTTTAGTTGTATTTCATAAGATACCCTGCCGTTAAAAGTTATAGTAGGCAGTAAATAAAAAGGTTAAGATATTGTATGTTATCCGCTATGGAGGAATCCCAAGTTTTATTTAAGATATTGGCATCAATAGATATTAAACCACATGCGCTTCAAGTACTATTCAATGTTGGAAAAACCCGAAAAACACTTAGAGTTAAGGCAACATAATACAAACTTTTTTAGGCCAGAGCAAAACGTACCTTCGTTTGTGGGCTCCGCGAATCTCTCAAACACCTCAAAGCAGACAATGTGAAGTGCGTTATTGTGGCTCGAAATCATGATGTAGAACAATTTGAAGGTAACTGAATTGCGACAGTACAGTTGTAAGCATTTATTGGCAGTTTTTAGTTCACGGTTTTTTGAGAACATTAACACGTAGCGAACCGTGCTGGTTTTGTAGTCACCCGTATCACCTGTCGTCCGTTGATCGTCGAGTGAATCGAGCGGGCACCTATAAACCCTCTACTTTTAGTTTTCGCGTGGATGGGTAGCCTAGTGAGCTATGTTCGCTGTAGGACTCGTTGAGAATCATACCTTTTTTCTAGGCTTTTTGTGAAGGACGTGGTTTTATTATAACTACCGATAATTTTATGACAACTAGAGTAGTTTAAGAATTGAGAACCTAGTAGATCTATTAAGGAAGCTCTCTTTTCTAGTATCACAACGGTATAGGTAATTTTTTAAATTGTCCATTCATTTTCAAAATTCTTTAGGATTACACTGCTGAGAGGAAGGCGAAACGGAGTTCCTGTTTGGTGTTGTAGTGAACGCGTTGGCCCGCGGAAAGGGTGATAGCGTGTTCGATCCCCACAGCAGACATCTGCTGTCTGGAGTTTTGCAAATATTTCAGCAGCTTTTTGGTCGTTTAGAATTACTTAGATACTTGGATGGCCTGTTTTCACTGTCTGTGCAGACCTCAGCATAATTTCCATTCTCTTGAGATTTGCCGGTTTAGCCAGTGTGGTTCCTTAAAGTCTCGAAGTCAGTTTAGCTGAAGCATTCCTCAACTCGTCACTACCCGAGGCAGTCGCCATCATTGTGGATGAGATTGAGATCTACTAACAATGCGTCTAGTTTCATGCCAGGACGGTGGTGATTCTTTGTATTGGTATGTAATCTTTGTATAGTGCTAAAAAGCTGTAGCCGTTGATTTATCTCTGGGGCTTGCACCATGCATTCAAATTCATTAAGCATCGTTGGAGGTGATTGAATGCATTGTGACCTTTACAATGACTCGCAGTGGGCTACCGATGTATTGAACCAGTACTGCTGTCCTCCCGGGCAAGTGTGATAATAGTTTGCCAACTCCGCATAGATAGAGCGCTTGGTGGACCTGGGGCATGGGGATCGATCCCATGTGTATTACAGTACGCCTCCGACCGCTGCGCCAGACGCGGTTCAGATATTGACATATTTAGAATTATCATGCGCAAAAATCGAAAAGGTTTTAAATTTTTGAAACCTCTAATGAAAATCCAACAGCCTCATAAAACAATACTTAGGGGATGTTTCTGCACAAGCTGTTTCTTCGTCATGTTGACTTTCAACCTAAGTTGACATGGTTAGGTAACTTTTCCAAATCCAGAATTTTCTTTTTGCAATTTAAAAATTTGTCCACGAATTCATTCTTTTTATTTTTTTTCTTCTTTTACACCGACTATTTTCTCACCGGTTCTTTCATCGACTGTTTCTGATCTAGGTGTGTCTCTGTTCCATCGTCTTCGAGTTGAATGCTTCAATCGAAATGTACCAATAGTTCATGCTTCGACAAAAAGATTTTTAAGTCGGGTGTTGAAGAAATTTCCTTACACAAACGTAATAGCCTTGTTTTGCTTCCAACCTTTTGAGGTAGGGTGACTTAGTCTTTTGTAGCATTTAGTTGCCTCGTACTCTCTTACTGAGAGATGTTGCTTGAGTTTATTTTAAACCATATGTTATATGCTAAACATTCAGGAGCTTTACCGTGATGTTATTCGAATATGGCATGAAAGCGACTCACGCATCCAGTACCACATCGATCAAGCATCATTATTCGCTTGATTATTAATGTGCCTAGTTGTTAAAACGTAAGTTAACGCGTTTAGCTACCCAAGTTTGTAAGTTGACAGTTTCCTGAGGTCGCGTGTAATTTCAAAACTATGCTTTATATTGGTACCTGTTTACTAATGCGAAGAAGGATGTTTTCAATTCGTGCAAATGCCGATGAATTCTTCATTATTTTTTCTCAAATCTATAGGCATTTTTTGCATTGCGCATGGAGAAGCTCAATTTTCGTTGTGAGATGAAGAAGAATTTGCAGAGTCATTATTTCTGACATGACATCTGAATGGATGTTCTTTATCCATAGGAAAGAGAATATAAGTGGAAGGTGGAAGAGATTAAAGATTTCGAAGAGAAGAATAGTATTGTGTAATTTAAATCTGTTTAGAAGCTAATGGTGAGATACATATACATGAACATTTGTCGCACCAAATGGGGTCGTGTAGCGCAATCGTCAGTGGCGCCATGCAATACACATGGGTTGGATCCCCGCACCCCTATCTCACCAAGCTTTTCATCCCTCCTGGGTCGGCAAATTGGTACCAGACTTGTCTGGGAGAATAGCAGCACTGGCTAGATGCATCGGTAGGCCACCGCGAGTCATTGTAAAGGCCAAATATGAATTCAGTCATTTTTGACGATGTTGATTGAAGTCGAATGCATGGCGTACCCCTCAGGGATTAATCATCGTCGAGAGCTCTATCCTTTCTATCCTTTATCCCTTCAAATTCGTTATCCTAACGTTGTGAGGTTATGTGATATTTTTCTCTAGCTTAAGTTCATTGGTGGAATTCAACGTTCTTAACGCTTTTATTTAGTGCCTTTTCTTTTTAACGGCAGGTATGTTGCGAAATATGACTCGTGTATAATGCTGAGATATTTGCAAAACTCCGGACCGCAGGTGTATGCGGTGGGTAACGAGCACGCGCTGTTGTCCTTACCGGGGAGCAGCGCAATTCACCACCACACCATCCGGGTCAACGTTATTTATTCAGTGTTGACATAGTGAATAATGTAATACCTGAGGCAGTTTCAATAACGAATGTAAGTGAAAACATTCTAGTCAGACTTAGGCGATTGCTAATGAGTAGCGCTATAGGTTTAACTAGGTTTCGACTGTTTACTTTGTAATTTTCCATCCGATTTAATTATTTCTTTGTGCTATATTTTATAGGCGCATTTCGTGCGACATCCATTAAGACCCCATCATATCTACTGTTGCGTTTTCCGGTGTTCATACCAACCATTAAAAATCCAACTTTAACACATTGGCGAGTAAATGCATACTATGTGGTGCGCCTCGGCCAAAGTGTCTTCTAGCAGGTAACAGTGAATTCGTTATCGCACTTTCGTTCCACAAGTCAGTGTTCTGTTTTCTTCGCTGGTAGTGAATGTGTTTTTCATATCGTACGTGTTCTCTTTGCTCGTATATGCATCTATATATGGTTTTACAACAGGTTAAACCCTTTTATATGTACGAAAAATGCCTGTCCACCGTGAAACTACCTTGTTGTCAGCATGTGGTAAAGTTGTGTAGGTTATGTACAGTATATTTATTGCATGTTATATAAGTATTGGAACTGGTCTGAAAAAAATATCTTTGTATATTTTTAAGTGCAAAATAGAGATTTTCCTAGATGCCACGCTCCACAAAATTCGTTTTGGATAACCTTTCGGATGGTAACAGAAAAGTGGACTAGAAACTCCTATTCTGCAAAGTAAATGGCAGAAATGCATCATATCGGATTCCTTCGGTTCCAATGTGCTCGATTTCTCTGTTTTTCATTTGGAATTTGGTGCTGGTTCGATATAACTTTAGTAAAGATTTAATGTGCCTATGCAGGTTACTACTTCCATGGTCAATTTACCACTCATAGTATTGTATGAGAACTCATTTTCTGTGTACTACACTCCACTTGCATCACAGTTACCCTTCCAATCAATCTAGAGTGTTCGGATAAATCTTTATCCAAAAACTTTGCGCACCAAAGTTGCTCAGTGTTGGCAACTCACTTGATGGACACCAACAGCGTAACACTTTTAGAACGAAATTATTTATTACCATTTTTCTTGGGAAGACGGTAATGACGAGGAGGTTACGGAGTGAGTGCTCTTTTGGTTAACTTTTAGATCTTTTCCAGTACAGCCATAGAGCATCTTATTAAGGAGTCGTATCAGGCTACAATTCACTCCTTATTCGCTTCGTGTGAAAATTCTTATCTAATGAATGTGCATAGAATTCACGAAAGTGCAGAATAGACAACATGGTCAAATATTTGGCAAGCTCATACCCCAACCCAGATCCCAACCCATGATTACCCTTTCGGAGTGCTCACTTGTTAGCCACTGCACGATTGAAGGTGTTGCTTTAGCTTTCAGCGAGTTTTTTTTGCTCTAACGGTACCACCAAAAGAATTTGTCGTATTGGTGTTCAAATACCAACCATTTATGCCATCACAGATATGCTGACATATATGCAAAACTCGGGACGTTAGGTGGGCTTCGAATTCGTGATTACCCTTTGCGAGAGTTCACTTGTTACCCGCTGTACTACTGAGGCTGATGCTTTACCTTTCTGATAGTTAGCTTTCTAACTAACGGTACCATCAGCAATCAGCCGTTAACAGGAATGGTGATGGGAGTGTGAATCCTATTGAATCCAGTTAAGCTGAGAATGTAGTCCAAATTACAGTGTATAACCTCTTATTACCTGCTCATTATTGTGATTTCTAGCAAATAAAAAGTTATGAAATGGGGAATACAGCTTGCAGATTTTTGGATTAGGAAACCCACGCAAGTATGGACGGCTTTAATTGTGTACGGAAGGTATAGGTCATTCAAGCATTAAAGGGTGGAATCCATTCTTAGAATTCGAATATGACCTAGGATAAAGGCACGGGGTCTGTCCTTCGTGTTTGCAGTTTTTGCATTCAACGTAAAAAGGAATAATATAGGTGTTCGCTGCGTTTTGAAGAAGCTTTTCGGTACAACGTCGTGTTTAGTAAGTTATTTTGTACCGTTTGACGTTTAGGAGGCTTCAAGAATGTTGGGTATTTTTGTTAGGAAGTTGTACTACTGGAATATGGTGATGGATTTATCTTATTCAATAGTGTACACATCCCCTAATGGTTTTACCGCCTCATCGTAACTGAGAGGTGTTCATGGGTGTTGGCTTGCGATGTGCAACGGTAGGATTTATACACCCAGCAGGATCTCTCAATCTGAGAAATCGTCTGGTGTTTCCATCGGGAAACCTAGCTAAGAGTAAAGCAGTACCAGGATCCACCACGGTCCTAATATCAAACTAGTCGCATGCTGGCAAATGGCCCTCTGATCCACTAGAGCTGCGTTTTACCTGTAGTAGTGACGACCCGGAGCAAACTTTGACCTTGCTGACCTTGGGAAACTCCGAAAAATTGGAGACTATGCTGGAGTACGCTTTTCTAGTTATGCGTCGAAGGTTGGGTGTGCAATCCACAATTCCATCGTTGTTGGTGTTCCGTCGAGTTTATATTCACAGTATCAAGATTGAAAGTGTAGGTAAGCTAAGCCTTCTGGGAAGTAGACTCTTATTTTTGGATGCTTTCCCAAGTTTTTCAGTAGTATTTACATTTTGAATAGCACCTTTAGGCCTTATAGATGAGTTGTGAACTCTTTTATTGTAACCAGTTCACATTATTCCATCGGATTTCCGACCTCGTAGGTGCAGTGGTTAGGAAAATGTGTATGTCCTTTGAGCAAGGATGAAATTTAGCCGCTTTCGTGTGATCACTGTGTTCAAACGTGGTATGTGTTGACCTTAGGTACCATTTTAAAGTTAACCGAAACTTTCTTCATGCTCTGTTATTTCTTTTATTTCGTATTTGGTTAGTTTCAGCTTCTGTTTCATTTCTTCTCCCATTTGTTCAATGCTGCGTCAATCCATCCAGTAGCGCGTGAAGCGCAGTGGTCGGAGATTCCTTGCAATACACATGGGATCCATTCTTGCGCCTCAGGCTCACCAAACCTTTCATTTGTAAAGTCCAGATATGCATTTAACCACCTCCAACGATACTTAATGAAGTCCAGTGCATGGAGCATCCCTCAGGAATCGATCAACTCCGAGAGCTTTATCCTTATTTATAATTTCCGATACTGTAACGGGAAAAAGAACTATTTCAAATGTCCATTTTCTTCTTCAGTATCTGGTTTGAGAGTGTTCATGGTTTTTTTCAGGTTCCAGCAGATTTTCTATTCATTTCTTTGCTTATGATTCTCATCCACAGAGATGGTGGTCAAGTCTGAACTTATTATGCCATCATTTATAAAACCTAAATAGTAGTGAATGCAGGTGGTTGATCTGAGCCACAAGCGTTTTCGAGCTGTTAAGCAGGAGCAGTGGGAGGACCACTGGGTGAAACATGTTAGGGATGCATATTAGGTCTGTCACCTGGTGGATGAATCCATTAAGGAACCACACACTGCTCATGATGCTTTCTTCTATTTCTTAGGAATACCTTCTTCATCTAGTCTCTTTGTTCATGTAAAGCTCCTTGGAAAGACATAGAGTGCACTCTGCCATTAACGAGCCGTCTATTTCAGTTTGTATGCTGCATCCATGTGTTTTTAAAGGCAGGTTTGGACTCCGCTTATGCATGATCGTGTCTATTTTCTTTACAATGTTAAGCCTTTTGGGCATCGCCTTTGCTTCACTAATAGTCATCGAGGTGATAACAATATTTCCAGGAAGCGAAAGGTTTTCTAGGAATCGCTAGATGAAAACACAAACTTATTGAGCAATCCCGAGATTGGTAGGAATTTCATGGAGTATTTGCCCAAATCGAGATAGTTCATCCATTGCAATGCGGCACTGAAAAGTATAAGTGGTATCGCCGTGTCGGAGCGTTCCGGTAAGTGTTGGTGGTGAAGAAACTGCGTTTTCGTTGTCATTATGATGGAATCTGAATAAAGTGCTTATTCCAGGTTCTCTCTTGTTCGAAGAGCGATGATAGTGTAGAGTCTATCTCATTGTCGCAAGTCTTTCATAGTCGATAAGGCGTTAGGAAAAGGGACAAGTGGTATTTTTGACCTACTTTGACGATTCCCTTTCTGCCCTGGATGTGACCGAAGCAGTTGAATCAGTGCTGGAATCCTTCTTGATCAACTGGTTACTTCATCCAAAATTCTTTGTTTTGCGCGATGGCATAGAACAAGTAAATTGAACAAATAGACAAATAGATAGTTTCGAATAATCATCTTTGTGAGTGCAACCATTGCAAGGGGTTCTATTGGTCTGGGACCCCATCGTTTAGAGGCATGATATTGTATTGATAGCGGAAAATTTTTGTAATTCGGGGTTTATTTCTCGGAAAAGTCGGATATTGTGATACAACGTGATATCGCTAGCTCCTGGAGACATGCATTCCTTCGTGTCAATGACCATAACTGTCGTTTCATAAGAAGAATTTCGGTGGTTTTCGCGATACAGACATTACAGAGTCATTCTGATTACGAGATATTAGACTTCTGTATAAGTCCTATCACTAGGCAACTTCAATGTCCAGCGGCAATTTTTTTCTTGGAAAAATGAATTTTCAGCGCATTCTACGGAGTGGGCTCCAACAGAGCTGATTCCGTTCTCATTTTAGTCCATTGCTTTTATTGATGTTTCCTAGAATGGCTTTAAAATCATCCACAACATCTCTAAGAGGACTTCGCTCCAGATCACCTCTTCTTACTGATCACAAGACACTAGGTCGTTCTTATCAGCTATACAGGTTGGTAATAGCGGTTGATGGTATAGGTTTTCATATAACACGGATATACAGGATTAGCCAAGGTAACACGATCTTGTGTATGTCGTCAGCTAACGAATAACTGAAAGAAAGGGTCTACTTTGACGGTGACGATGGCTTTCTTTTATAGTAAACGTCTCCCAACCTAACAGGCACATATTGGTATTCCCACCGTAAGGTGAGATCGTGAAGATTACTCTTTAGAAGACCATCAAATTCCGTGTCAGCCTTGATTGCTCCACTGTTGTAGATGCAAAGAAAGAAATTGTACTATATCGAGTTATTTTGATCCTAATCCAGTGAAATTGTGCCATATGAGACTGGTATACTGTTTGTTTCCGATTTTTTTCTCTAGAGTTAGCTTTTCAGCAATCCCTAAACATCGGACGAAGGGAGGTTTACCACAGTGCGACTGGGTTTCTAGCGGGACCATGACGATTCGTGGCATTACCGTTAGCTGGGAATACAAATGAAAATGTTGAACTTCTCAGTTTCCGACTCTCTACTTTGTTACAACACTATGTTGCACGTTTCAGTCCGATTAGAAGTGCCAGTATTAAAGAAGGGTCCCGATATTAGAAAGCTTCACTCCTTATGGTGAAAAAGCTACTATAACTCTTTGAAAATGTTTCAGTTTAGTGTCGGTTGAACGGCATTGGTCCAAGAATATGGCTGGAGACCATTTTTTTCGCCGGATTCTCATTCTTAACTGTTATTCTTGTAACTGGAATTGTTGAAATGCCTTTTTTATTAATTAAAAGTTGTGTCTGTTTATGATGTAAGATTAAACCAAGTGGTGTGGTACATAGGCAGTGACGTTAGCACTTCAGTGGTTCCTCAAAGAATGGAAGAAAATCTGTTAGAGGTCGAGTTTCTTCCTTTCCTGATTGTTTTCCTGCCTCGCTATTACATTACAACCTATTCGTTTTATCTTATTCGTCATGTTTTTCCACACGAAGTTTTTTTTGTTTATTTCACTTGGAGGTTACACAAAAGTGTTGTTCGCTTTCTGGTTGGCATGTTGAAGTGTTCGGTTACACTGAGACGTCTTGTGTCAGGATTGCTAGTCACGGTTTCCATTCAACCTCAAAGTTGTGCAAAACGATTTACCTTAAGTACACTACAGAGTACAGCAATGAGTCAAGCACCACCTCCAGTAATCATCAATGCAAGAAAGAATCACAAAGCTACGGTGGGTTTTTCCATTTCGACAGTTAAGAAACAGTGGCTCAATCATTGGAGGTCTTGTTACTTAGCAATTTATTCTCCTAGTCTAGTATTTGGACGTGGGTCTAAACATTGCTTAAAGACAATACAATACAACGCTAGCTGACGTTTCGGCAGTATCGCCTTCTTCAGAGCCTGGAAGGGTATACTGATATACAATCTGCTAGGCCAAACGCTTCAGTAACACTTACAAAAAGACGAAAAACTCTGGTAATTACACGATCAACAACTTCTCGAAAAACCTACCGCTTTTTCGTGACTTCCAATGGGGAAGTTTAGAACAGTTGATTATAGTCGCATGTGGTTGATGACTGCACCATCCCACATCAAAAATCGATGCGAACATACGGGATCAGGTCGCGTATGACCTCCGGGCATTCGTCCCTGCTATTCATTGTAGGGTTTTGGCATTTATCCAAAAAGCCTCAAGAAGTTTTCGCGCTAGTCTTTTGGACTCCTGTGCAAGGATATTGGCTTTTACTTCAAAATCGTCTCCGCTGTGTTACCGGAAGTAAATGTATGCTGTTTAAAAATCTCGTGATTGCTGAACAAGAAATATTCATATTCATATTCAGAAACACATCCTGGGAACTATTACAAAAGTTTTCCTTCGTCTTGCACTTCTTACACTTGGCGCACGTCTGGTTTTGTCGGCTTCGTAGACAGGTTCGGAGTATTCGTAATTCGATGTCCAGTGCTCCGTGACTGTCCTCTGGTAGTCCGCATACATCGTGTAGTCGTCTTCTTTTGATGACGTTCGGGACGACTTGGTATTTTAGGCAGCGGCGGAGAACGTGTATTGAGTGTCGAGCTAAGACGATCTTTTGTCTTAGTTACAGCGCTTCTTTTACAAGACGGAAGTATCGTGCTGGCACGTCTCGTAATAAATTGTTCTGTTCGAAAAGTTTCACAACGCTGTGATGACGCCACCAGCAGTGGTCCGGTCTTTTATATGTAATTTGCATAAAGTTTTTCGTCTTTTTGTAAGTGTTATTGAAGCATTTGGCCTAGTAGATTGTATATCAGTATACCCTTCCAGGCTCTGAAGAAGGCGATACTGCCGAAACGTCAGCTAGCGTTGTATTGTATTGTGTTCTTTTATGGAAATAAATGTATGCTGTTTAAAAACCTCGCGATTGCTGAACAAAAAAACGATGCATTCATATTCCAGTGCCGAGGTTAAGAGAAAGTCGATCCTGGGAACTATTACTCAAAGACTTACGGTTGTGTCTTTAGTCAAAACTGCACGTTTAGACTTTACTGATGGGCTAAATCGAGCAATAATGGGAAATGAACTTGCGTGGTGTAGAGATAGTCGGATCAGTAGATCCTTCCTTAAGGGCATCGCACCTGGGTTGGGATAAAAAAACTGTGCTGCTTTCTCAATTTGTACATGATGTTTTATAAACTATTTTCCAACTATGAAATATGCTATGGCTGAGACTAGCAGATCTCAGTGCACAGTGATGATATTCCCAAAGCAAGTTTTATTGTATTTGGTGAAGCATGAAGGGTGTAATCGATCATTAACAGGAAAACATGGTTCGTATCATGGCCTATTAGTTATTAACTCAGCAGTTACTAGTTCGAGGACCAACGATATGGATTGTTCTATGAAAATTTGTTTTCTTGTGGATTTGAACGAGTAAAATGTTACGTTGTGATTGTGCCAAACTCCACGCCATCAAGATTAGCCGAGCAAAATTTGAACATCTTGACGACGTTCCCACCCAATGTTCAGTCTTGAACCACCATTCCTTCGATTTCTATGTTATCTTACATCTGATGTTCATGGAGAAAAGGAGGTGCCACCCTGTGGCGTTTCCTTTTTCTAATCCGAGCTTTTTTCGGAGCACGGTGGTAGCAGTACTTGAAAGAGAAGTAAGGTCGTCGTATATACGACGGAAAATACGTTGTCTACTAAATTTTCACAGTTCTATAGAGCTTTAATTCAGCATTTGTTGTTTTCCGTAGGAATTTTGCTTCCACTTTCATCAATCAAGTAGGCGCTTGTTAAGGTATCAGTTCTGGTTCTTCTTTGGAATTTGGTGAGCAACTTTTACCAATTAATCTTGTTCCTTAAGAACTAACCAAATATGAAGCAAACTAAGTCGGTCGATTGATTGATGTTGTGGGACGCAGTAGTTGTAAATTTTCGGAAATCATAGCGCTGTATGGTTTATAACCTATAGCGTTAATTTTGTAGAATACAAAGGATTTCAAAACTTCTCGGTATTTCCACACTGGAGTTCTAGCTGTATTTCCAGGTTATTTTTCTACATGGACTGGGTGATTCTGGCGATGGTTGGTCAGATGTATTCGCTCATGAAATCCGCCACGACAATATCAAATATGTATGCCCCAGTAGGTAAGGGCTTGAATTTCTGCCATCAGGGTGCCTTTTATGTCTCTGAATCTGACTAAGGTTTTATAGTAGATTGTGTCCTTAAAGTTAAACTATATTCCATTGACTGATTGAGTCTTTAGCGCTTCGCGTCCAGTTACGTTGAACATGGGTATGCGAATGCCAGCTTGGTTCGATTTATTTGGGTTGGATGCTAGTGCTCGTGAAGACACTGAAGGAATTGCTCAAGCCACGCGACTTGTACATGGAATGATTGACTCTGAGGTATTGTTACCAGGCTTTTTTTCTCTTCAAAGGTGTATGGGTGACGGTTTCTTAACTCTTGATTCTGAAGTGATTTTCTAGTGGTAGTAACCCCCGCAGTTCTTCGATATCCTTGGACGGGAAGGTTCAATTACATAGTTGTTCGTCGTTTCGAAACAAGTTGGTTGGAAGTGTCTGCGGCGGGGATCGAACCTCCTTATTACCCTTTCCGGAGACTATCCTGCCATGAAAAAACAATAAGCAGTATCCAAAAAATGATTACATTAACTGCCACGACCGACCTTCTATTAACCTCGGCATTGATCAAGTGATTTTCTTCGTATTTTTGTTGAGCAAACGCGAGGTGTTACTATTCTTTGTTCACGATTAAGCTGACGTTTCGGCGGATTTCGCCTTCTTCAGAGCCTGGAAAGGTCAAGTTGATAGCAACTCACTCGGCCAGACGCCTCCATAACCAAACAAAGAAACTCCAAACCAAGATTTCAATCACCTTGAACACAGCTTTGCACACTCACCGCTCTCTATGAGGTTTCCACTAAGTATGTCACGTAGAGACCAACCGCACAGAAATCACGTGGAAGTATAATGTGCCCCTTACATCAGAAAAGCAGTTTTATATACTGCCCTATATCACGCGTGATAATGAGGCATTCTTCCCTGCGGTTCTTTTTCGGATTTCTGGAATTAATCCAGAGTGCCTCGAGAGTTTTTCGCGCCTGTGTTCTTGATTCGCGTGCGAGGATCGTGACACATACTTAGAAGTCGTCCCCGTTATGTCTCTGGGTCCTATGCGTGCCTAGCGGGGTATTTGGTCTATTTTTGCCGGCTAGGTGTTCTTTCATGCGGACACAGAGGGGTCTACCCGTTTCGCCAATGTATTCGTCACCACACGTCTTACAGGAGATCAGATAAACTGTACCCGAGCTCATGCAATCACCGTCTTTACCACTGGGGCAAATTGTGCAATTTTGAGTTGCACATAGACGGTCATATAGAAAGAAGGCGGACGGCGACGGCGACGACATAGAAAGACGGCGCTTGTAAGAAACATGTTTCGAACAGCCAAATAAAAAAAAATCCAAAGAATCCAAATATTAGTAATATATGACGAATAATATAATTCTGATATTTAGGTTTCAACAGGAATACCATCAGAGAAAATCATCTTAGGAGGATTCTCCATGGGTGGAGCATTGGCACTGTACGCTGGTCTTACATATCCACATAAACTTGGTGGTATCATCGGCCTGAGCTCTTTTCTTATTCAACGCGATAAATTACCCGGAGTAAGTGGCTGCTGATCATAAAAATGCCCAGGATTGTTGTATGGAAGTCTCGCAAGTTCATTTTAGAATCATACAGCGAACAAATCCACGCCTATCTTCTTAGGACATGGTTCAAACGATTTCCTCGTCCCACTAACATTCGGTCAACTTACTGAAGGCCTTCTCAAAGCGTTCAATCCGAACGTAAAACTGACTGTCTACAATGGAATGGGTCATAGTAGCTGCCCTGAGGTTGATTTTAAATTTTCTTCAGTTCCTGCTGATGTTTTTTTTCGTACTAAGTATCCGTACAGATTAGTTTTAAAGGTTATTGTATAGTCTGCATAATATTTGTCAAAATTCATGGTTATTTAAGCTGACGCGTTCATTCGAAAAACAGTGTGTGTTTTCTGCAACTTTTTTCTGTGATAACTGCTTTTCATGGGATTTCTGGTTAGACTACTGGCCATTATTCTAATTCACTTTGCACGGAGTGTTTCTTCATTAGTTATGTCCCAACTTTTTCTACTCGTCCCGCATGTTCTCTCTTCGCTTTCTCTTTTGTCAACTCTCCATGGTATTCTTTTAGTCAGTCTATTGTAAGTCTTTTTGTTTATCTAGTCGACATAGTCGGGCACAAGTTTCCTACCATCGGTAGGCAGTTGCAAGTGCTAAACCGCCTTCATGATAGTTCAGTCATCAGAGAAGAAAATCTGTAAGAATTCTCCACTTCTGAAATCGTAAGTTAAGGCAGAGTTTGTAGAGAAGTAGTTAACTGTTTTGAAAGGAAGCTTATACTCATTAGCGAGGTTGTTTTTTCTTCATCACAACATGGAAGGGAGAGCTTAGGATTCGGGTGAAAAACTGTTCTGGTGTATCACAACAATCAAAGTTTTCAAGGTGAATATAAATTAAGGGTAATGTTAGCATTACCCTACGTAAAAGACTTTTGAAAGGAAGGTTATACTCATTAGCGAGGGCCAATAAATTTCTCGTCTTCTGTTTTTTGAGCTGTCATCTGTCTTTTTTCACGTAGTTTCTACAATTCTCTTCTTAAATTTTTTTCTGCTTTCTATGTGCTACCCATTTTATGTCATATATTGGGCGCGTTTGGCACAGTGGTTGGAGGCGCCACTTCAGCACACACGTGGAATCGATCCCCGCACTGTCTATTACACAACAATTGCCGTTCATGGATAATTAGTACCAGATTTGTCTGGGAGGATAGCAGCACTGGCTTGATACATCGGTAGGCCACCGCGAGTAAGGGGAGTAAAGGCCAGATATGCATTCAATCACCTCCAACGATGCTTAACGAAGTCGAATGCATGGCGCATCCCTCTGGGATTGATCAACGCCGAAAGCTTTATCCTTTTATCCTTTATGTTATATATTATGTTCTATACTATACTGTGTTCCTTCTTCCTATGTTATTGTTTCCGTTTTTCCAACCTTCTTTTACCATGTTGTTGTTAACACGTTGATTTCGGCTACAGCTTCAACTTAACTGGACTTACTGGGGAATACTGATCAGTGTGCTCCCCAGATCGTTCAATTTATCGAATGATTGTTAATGACATCGTTAGAGTAGGAAACTGGTTGGTAGAAAAACAAAGCAGAGGCCTCGGTTGGCGTAATGGATAACAGGTGAACCCTCGGAAAGCGTAATTTGGGGTTCGAAGCACATCTAAGGTTCTGAGTTTTGCCCATATGTCAGCATCCCCATGGTTGCACTTCACATTATGCTCTGTCATGAAAAAAGAATGAGCAGTAAATAAAAAGTTAAAAACATTTGCTGTTACTGGTTTTCTATCTGTTAAATATTTGCTTGGTGCAGAAGTAATTAGTGATTTAGACCGGGAATTTTATATCGCTATAAGTTAGTTCTAAGGCAACTTTATTGTTCATTGCAAGAGCTATTAGAATCTACACCATTTTCTCAGCAACGTAAAAGTTAGTTTATGCTGGTAATTTAAATTCTGGAATCGACGGATTCTCTGGAATCATTTTTTGCGGCTTGGTTGCTGGATATTTTCCCAAGTAGTTATTGCCGAGATGCTTGAAGACAGCGGAAATTGGTTAGCGGGAGGCTCCATCAAGGGTGATAGATGAAGCAAAGTTTCGAAGCATAACTCGTTTTTGTACCTCTGCAGCGCTACTTGTGCAGAGTATGGTTGGACGCCGCCGTAACGCAGAATTCGTTGATGCATTCAGTCACTTCTAATGACGATTTAAGAAGTTGAATGCATGCTGCACCCTCGCTATTGATCAGCTCCGGAAGCTTTATCCTTTGCGTTCTATCAACTCTTTTTTTAAATACTGTAGTATTTAAGCTAAGTTATTATATAATATATAGTATATTAACGTTTAAAAGTGGCCGATGAACACTGTCTTCTGTTTTTTCCCAACCTGGTTAGCAAACATGTATGTTGCGAAATTTTAATGTACAAAACAAATTTCCTTGATCAATACGTTTGCAACATGAATGCGAGATTGGGATTGTACCGTCAATCTGTAGTGGCTTTAGGCTTGGTGTGATTGGTATTGACTTTTGGGGCTGTGCGTAGAGGTGAGAATTGAATGGGTATGTGAAATGCAACCACAGTGATTCTGAGATATTTGCAAAACTTGGGCCCCAGGCCAGATCGAAGCGTGATTATCCTTGCCGAGGCTCACCTGTTATGCACCCCACGACTGAGGCCCTCGTTCTGCCTTTCTCTGAGCCAGTCTTTTTACCCTGAAAATATGTGAATAAGACTTTGGCCTTCTAAACCTATGGTGGTCTGTAATTCGGCTTCACGAGGCATGAAATAGGTGATCGAATGCATATTTGGTCCATTCAGTGACTTGTAATGACCTATCAATGTATCAGCTCGTGTATCAACTGTTTTTATCCTTTCTGACAAGTCTGCGACCAATCTTCCGAACATGAATGGTTAAGGGCTTAGTTATCTTGGGCGCAAAATCGAATTAACGACCATGTGTATTGCAGGAGTAGTGTAAACGAAATAGAACTAAGCAGAGGAGTTCCATTTATCGGACCAGCTAAGTGTACATTTATGCCAGCAATTGCAGAGGGATTGGGCTGAGCGCTTTCCCAGAAACTGAAGTGTTAGTTGTGATGTGCATAAAATATTCAGTTCGAGTTATCATGTGCATAAAGTGCTTTTGTGGGAAAAGAAACTGAGTATAGAAAACTAGTTATGAACTGAACGCAAGGATATTAAAGAATAATCATGACGCTTCCTTTCCTCTATTATCGTAAGTGAATTCCCATGTTGTGTTCATGTTGACCAGCAAATGAGTTAAATATCCATACAATCTAAATTTAAAGAGATGATTTAAACATTTTTTGGTTTATCAGGAGATATCAGGGTCGAGTCAGGTTTTGAACTGACAGGAAAATCACGCCATAAAGTGCTGGATTTGTAGTTAATCAATAACGTATGCGTGGACACTGATATTAAGATCTGAGAATGGCGTCAATCAGTATAATTTACTTTCAGGAACTTCGCGATACGAAGAGATTCATTGATGAGAAGATAAACTAGTATGTGGAGTCGTTTAATCGATATTCTTCAACTCCTACTCGTAACATGCACAGGAAAAACTGGTTTCAACCTTTATGCATTCCAATGTTATCCTTAGAAGAATACATGTCGTTGCTAATTTGATAAATCGAATTGTTAACTACATGCTTCATATTGTGAAGACTACGTGTAAGAGTACGTGGTTCGTATTGTAACGTGAGATTGTACAGTATCATTGGTTTGAAGTTGAATTCTTACTCATTACATCCAGTGCTGAGAAAAACGAGGGCAGCAGAAAGGTGGTGGTACATTTATTGGTGAAGATTTTTGCGCTTTCGTGACTCTTGAAATGGGCACCTCGTTTTCCTTAAATTTAGTTTTTGTGGTTGAATAGATTAATAGCGAGACGGATAAAGAAACTAGTGAGGTTCTTGTATGGTGAATGGTCAGTACTATATAGCTTTCTGTTCATATAATCTTAGATATCGCTCATATGCTCAGTAGGTGGTGAGCACATTCTCAACGTCGATGAAGTGCCAACTTTCTATCTAGCTTTGGGTCGATAGGTGGATTCTTTGCGATGCTCGAACGCTGATCCTAGTGATATATTTCTTGAACAAAAACTCTCATTCACATTGTGTATGTTTATTTAATGAACCCTACATACAGAGAGGTTGTGGTTTCTGGAATCAAGCAACTCACCATTTCAGTTTGCTCACTGTCATTCTATGAATTTTCTCCCGCTTTATGCTCATTTCTATTGTTTTTGCGGTTTGATTAAGAACATAGGACATTCTCTATGTTTCACTGATACCAACCTCAAGATAGCGACGCCGAAGATTTGGTAAGAATTTTCGAAACCTTTCCCACGGCAGTGCATATGTCGTGCTGTTAGAAAGCCTTTCCGAGAAGGAGCGAGGAAAACCTGTTGTGGTGGTGCAGTTGGGAATTAAAATAATTTGATTTCATCTTTTTAGTTTTTAGTCTTATTGTTTAAGCACCGCTTCACATCCATTCTGCACCTGAATCGTCTATCTTGTCGGATGAAACTTCACAAATCCATTAGCTTTTCCTTGTAATGTATTCCAAAATCTCATAAATTATAAGGAGTTTGGTTTTGATCAACTCTTGAGCGATTGAGTGCATATTTGGTCCATAAGGTGACGTGCAATAGCCTACTGATGTATAAAATCAGTTTCCAAGTTTTATCCTTAAGTAGAAAGGAGGCTGTTAGTAACAAATTCATTTAATCCTCGATGACATTTGGTCCGTTTCACCTTTAGAACCTGGAAAGGGCAAGCTGGCACACAATCGACTCAATTATACACGTTCATAACCTCAGCAGATAAAGCTTAATGCGTAAATTTTCATTCGCATGATAAACTTCTTTTTAGCACTCACCGGTTTGTTTTTGTAATCCTCTCAGTGATTTGGTAGGGACCAGCTACATAGTCTTACGTAGTTGAATATAGCTGGCTCAGGCCAAAAAGAATCAGCCTGAAGGTATGATGCTAGGTAACACATGATCGTAAGGTATTCCTGTTTGCAGTTCATTTTTAAATTTTTCTATTTTATCCGAACGCTTCTAAATGTTGACGCAATAATGTTATGGATTTCCTTGCGTGAATAGCGATTTTTGCACCAAAATCTGCTGTGCTTTGTGCCCTATGAGTGCCTAAAAGAGTATTTTGGAGCGCTTTCTAAGCTTTATAGCTATGTTTACTTCGTTGGATATAAAGAGCAAGTTAAACAGGACGTTGTTTACTAGAGTTATAGTTTGGGAGCTTTGTTTCTTCTTTAGAAGTGTCC